CGCCTTGCAAGTGGAAGAAGTCCGCCGGCCATTGCGACTGGTTTTTGGACCCTTGTGTGACGGAGGCGCTATATTTGCGGTTGGAATCTATTCCGGTGGCAGTGTACCCGCTGGCGTCACGGTGAGCAGGCATGTTATGTTGCTGGCCTTCGTCAAAGACCGAAAAGGGGTCCGAGAAGAACGAGATGCTTGCGGGACAGAGGAAAGGGCGCAAGGAAGTCATGGTCGACATGTTGTTGCTGCCACTGTTCAAGACGGGCGGTGATCTGATGGCTGCGAGTTTGGAAGAGGTTGTTGTGGCTCTTGATAGCTGTCGCAAAAGAGTTGTTCGTGCTGCGTTGTGTGACATTGGTTGGAGACTTTTAGAAGGTTGAGGATGAAGAAATCGACGGGATGGCAAGATGGTCAGAAGCGCTGTTTATATACCATGACTCTGCCACGTCTCGATGCAACTTGCAATGCACGGTGTTGAGCTTAACGATGAGGATGGCCATGACGGCCTCCCCCCACCCTTACCCTTATGAGATGCCAAGTTGATACGATGTGGCATAGAAGCTTGTAAACCATTTTAGAATACATGGTTTAGGGTTCCTGCAGCTTCTCGAACGTTCGTTTGCCCCCTCCGCGGTCTCCTTTCAATGCGACGCGCATGAAGCACACAGCCCCAGCTCATCAAGTGAGAGCCTCCAGATTCCAGCCTGTCAGTGTCAAAGTGTGTCTAAAAGAAGGTCAGAGAAGCAAGAGAAGTGCTTGCGGCACACAGGCCTGTGATGTTAGTCTTTCCAGACAGAGGCGTTGCCGAAGGAGCGGGCCGTGAGACCGAGTCGCCGGAAGAGAATGCATTTTTTGGTCTGTGCATTAGGACATCGCGTAGCACGCTCTCGAACGCGAGTCCATAGCGAGAATCGTTTTTGTTCGTTCTCGAGGGCAAGACGACCCGCCATGCATCTCTCCTGTACCATGTGTGCGAGCAGCTGGCATTCGCAATGGTTCACCCATGTATCGAGCCGGCCTTGCTATGGAGATGACGTTGACGGGTGGCCGAATATAAAGACTGTAGTGAGATGTGAGTTGCGTGAAGACTTTCGAGAGACGTGAAGCGGCGGGGTCCCGGATTTCGCTTTTCCTTTCATCGAACGCGTTCCCCCCGGGCCCCCACAGTCGCGTGTGGCGTCATCGCCCTGACTCGTTCAAGTTAACCTGGCCCCCTAGTTCCATCATCCATCCATCTATGCGCGTGCATGTATGCCATATAGTACAATGATCGGGGTGCAACAAGCTGACCATTGATAGCCATCGCCGACCAGAACACCAGCGTCCAACAACGCCCTCCACTCCCTCGTCTGTGGCGTTGTCGTTGAGCCGTGCGGTCTTGTACGTAAGCGTCTTCTGAAAGCATGGGACGTGTCTCACCCACGTACCACGACAACCTTTGGCTCAGCCTGACGAAGACGGTCGTCTGTGGCGCGCTCGACAGGATCAACTCGGATGATGACGCGCCTATCGAGGGTCAATTGTTCCCCTTCAGCCGAAATGACGCGCCGGAGCGGCGAAAAAGGAAAGGGGCAAACCATGTCACATTCTCCGAGTTTGTCGACGCTCTCCATAATGACGACAAGAGGAGCAACACCATGTTCCATCTCCTGGAAACCCTCGTCGAGGTGGGTGGTGAATCTTCAATTCAGCCTCACTGCTGGTAAATTTTGTGGCCTGACAAACGATTTATTCCAGGAAGTGGTGAAAAAGACAGTGCGCAAGCGAAGACGCGAGGATACCACCCGTCGCATCCCCGACATGCACGCTGGATCCATTCAAGCACATGATATTTCTTCCTTTGGAGGTTCAGTAGTCATCAGACGTGACGCTGATGGAACTTCTCCTTGGGATGCGTCCTTCGACCACGTGATCGAAAGGATTGCCGCGCCTGATGACGAGCCGCAGGAAGGTGGCAGCGAAGGCGGCGAGGCAATCGGTCGGAACCATTTTCCTTCGGACAATCTGCCTCTCCTGCCGCAAGGCGGCTGGAGTGAAGCGCTCTTCAGTCAAAACGCGGTTGCAAGGACGACGACGATGCGGGGCTATGCAGAACATAAGTACGACCTCGGTCTGGAAGAATGGGCGGAAGAATGGCCCACTGTCTGCGGCTGGACCACTGAGGATGACGAGCTGCATGAGGCTTTTGCACAGATCGGTGCGCCGCCCTCGTGCGAAATTCTGTTGTGTCCGCAGGGACGCATAATCCAGATACACCTGCAAGTGCTCAGAAATCTGTTGAGGACTTTGAGAGTCCATTCACGTCGCGCACTCGAGAATCTCGACTCGTTGGACGACATAAGCGCGCAGGCCGAGCTGTACGGGCGCATACTGTCCGCCGTTGACGGCCCAGATCACTTCTTGTCCTCCGTCGGTGACTTCATCCGCCGTCAGCTCTCGCAGGATCTTAGCCACTTGTCGACGCTTGACCAGATGCGCGTGTCCTTCGCACTACTCGACCTTTTTCGTCTCACGAAGTTGTACTTGATCGAGCAGGCTCGTCTCATGGACGCTGAAGAACTCGCTCATGGGGCGATCAATCTAGTTCTCCATGGAATATCTTCACCCTGGTCGGCTGAGCTTCCGGATCGACTCGAGCCTGGCTGCACGTATCTAATTCGTCACGCGCATCATGGGGATGGACTGTTTGAGGAGCGTCCTCCCATCATTCACCACGAGCCATTACTGGGCGAGGTACGCGGTCCACTTGCTTCTCCGACCTGGAGAATGGAACACACAGAGGAAGGCGATTCGGACAGCAGGATGGAAAGCGTATTTGCTGCCTTGCGCGCCCGCTCTGACATGCTGCGCGCTTTACTTGGTTCGAACCCTGACCATGTTCGAGGCGAACCCACTTCCGCAAGAGTCGAAAGTGCTCCTGCTGCAACACTGACGCGGTATGGCATCGCGGCCCGCTTTGCGGCCGTTCGCGCCAGCTTGGATTGGCCGCACCGGTTGAGCCCTGGGCACTCGGATCCCACTGATCGCTCGCAGCAAGATAACAGGAACTTACCTGTTACCGTGTCTAGAACGGCGCCAGCGGCATCGGCATCTGCTACGGCTGTCATCGATGCCGATGCTGCGATTGTGGCCTTCCAAATCAGCACCAGCTCGAATCATGCAAACGGAAGCACTGTGCCTCGAATACCATCTGTCAATCAGTCGCCGCAAGCCGTCGCTATGGCCGCTAACGGTCTTCGTCGCTCAGGCGCAAGCCGTGTCTCGCCGCGCAACAGATATCTCGCTGACAGGATAGACGAATTCAGTGCCTTCGCTTCGCGTCGCAGGCAGGGACAACGGCAGGACCGTAGTGCAGATGCGACGACGGAGGGTGACGAGACATCAAGCTCTGCATCAATCACGGATGCGCAGAGACCGCCATCTGCTGCATCTCCGACGCGTGGGCCCATTGCCCCGCTGCCGCCTCGTGGACGTCACGGTGATCGTTCTTCTGAGCGCCAGACGTAGCTCGACCACGCATGAGAGGGGACCAACACGTTAGTGTAGCATAGCCAACAGTAGCACATGTAAAAATACATCATTAGAGCCTCGCAAGTCATCCCTTGTACGGCGCCAGGTCGATCTCGGTCGTACAGATCAACGCCATGACACACAAGCCCGGCATTCGGTAGGTGCGATGGTAGAACCGATATTCTGGATCCGCGGCCATGTCTGCAAAATGCTGGATCGAAGATAGTGCATACAGGCCGATCTCGTTCCACCACAGCTCGTTAGGTAGATCTTTGGGCCGGCGAGATTCCTCAATCTCCGATGGCGAGAGAACGTTGCCGACCAGCTTGGGGTCACCGCCGCGTTTGCTAGCCCCGTCGGAGAAGCCCTGTTAAGTGCCACGGTGACGGGCCATTGTGTCAGTTCCCCGAAGGGTAGGCGTCCGCTTGGCACACCGCATCTCACTGGCCGTAATTGAGATGTGACTTCATGGCATCATTTCTCTCCTTGACGCACAGCAGATTAAGCTGCAAGACAGGCCCACGGTACTCGTTCGAGAGTCTGTCCGCAAAGCTGAGCAGCTCCTCTGAGACCTCCAAGCTCTGCGGCCCGCAGGCCGTGGGCACATCTGGATTTAATCGTGCGGGTTCAGACAGGTTGCTCAGCAGTGGCATTTGCGGAGCTTCGGCGTCGAGCTACGCACTGCGCCCATGGTGCCTTTCCCATATCCGACTGAGGGTGCCACACGTGATGCTGTCATGCACTGACATCTGCCGAAAGATCTTGATGCCACCCTCCTGAAGCAGATCATTCGGGTCCGGAGCCAGGAAGATAAGTAGGTCACATTTGTGACAGTCCAGGAAGCCGACGTCTAGAGACGAGGGACGGATAACGGGCTCGCGGACGCGCGAGGCAACATGTACATAGGTCTGAAGTGGTGTGGAGACAAGGGGATGTAGACAGCGCGAGATGGAGGTTTCCGGTACCGGTTTGAAAAGAAGCGGCGGTCCCTGCTAGCATCTTGCCTGAATTCAGATTGGGCGGTGATTCTGATGGTTGCGAGCAGCTCGTCACGGTCAGACAAGCAGTAGAGGATTGATAGGCTCTAAAGCAACAAAATAAGGACCGACCGTTCTGATGGCTGCGTCTCTCGTCGATGGGGATGATAAGCAATACAAGCTGGCATTAAGCCTGGTAGAGGTGTGGGCCGCGACTGCCGGGTCTCGGGAGTGCGAAGCGAAGTTGGTGACTGTCAGCTGCTGCTTCTAACAAGAAGCGCCTCTGATCACCATTCAGTACTCAGCGTTCAGTGGTTCTGATCTGTAGAATACAGTGTTTGCAATGTTGAGTCTATGGGTATCGTATGTAGTAAGCAGATTTACAAGCAAACAAGCTCTATTGATGTAACGTGACGGATGCGATTCCCGTGATCCAGAATGGTAAAAAGCCCGCTGAAAGGCCGTGATGGTGGTGGCTGCATCAATTGCAAATCTTGGCATTGAGGCAGTCGATGTACGCGGCACCGAGCATGGCGACGAAAGCCTGGCCTTCGGGTGATCCGGCCGTGTACGGCTGCTGAGAGAACCAGTCGTACGGGTTGACCGTTGGGCTGACGATCCCACTCGGCTCAACTGTGGCAGCAATCGCTTTGCGCGCGTTATCCGCCCAGGGGACGTACGTCGATGCGAGCGATGGATCGAGGACGGCCATGCGGTACATGGCGGCTGCCAGCCCAGCGGTACCGGCCGCCTCGCCGAACCACTGGAACGACACGTCGTTCCAGCCGTCGGCGCCACCGACAATGTAGTTCCTCAGCAGGCCGTTTGTCGGATCGATCGCCGTGGTGCCCGTCGCGCCTGACGACAGCGAGGAAGCAGAGATGACGCCGTCGAAGATCTCGTAGATGTACTGCTTGAGTGTCGTCGGGCTGGACGCCCACGTGCTCGTTCGCGGCCAGTGCAGGATCGTGGCGAGGACGCGGACCATCCCAAGTGCGGCCCAGGCGTTGCCTGTCGACCACAGTCCGAGCGTTTGCGACTGCGGCCCGACGATGTGCTGCCAAAGTCCCTGACCGTTGAAGGTGTCCGAGCTGGAGTTGGAAGATGTGGCGTTTACGGCGGCCGTGGTAAGCTGCAGGACCTGGCGCTGCAGGGTGCACTGTGTCACAACTTCCTTCATCAGATCGGTGTCGGACGTCTGCGCAGCATAGTACGCGAGGAAAGGAGGGGCCAAGTACTTTGTGCAAAGGAAAAAAGCAGCGCTCGGATCAGCGTCAGGCAAATGAGAAAAGAGTGGCACGTTGCACTCACCATCCAGTCCGCCCACAGCTCGGCAATGTTCTCTCTCTGACTGATAGCGCCGTTCGCGTATTTGGGCACCTGGTTGAGATGGTTCGACTGCTTGCCTGCCGCAGTCAAATATGATGAATCGGTCTGACCGATCATAATGGCCGCGACGCCTAGGCTGGCGGGGTCACCGGTGGCGCCCTGGCCTGCGACGAGCGCATAGTTGGCCGTGTTGGTGGAAATGTGCGGCTTGGCGTAGCTCAGACTTTTGACGCTCGACACGGACTCCTTGGGGATCTTGCCGCTTGGGAAGGCGGTAGAGGAGGTGCCAAAGACGCTCAACGACGGGTCGTAAACTTCAAGCAGCGCCTGCGCTAGCGCTCCGTACTCCCAGCTGTTCTTGGCGAGGCTCACGCCCTGCTGCACGGCGCTGACGTAGTCGAATCCGACAGCGGAGATGGCGGCTTGCGATGCGGGCGCCGGCGAAGATGAGGAAGGGCTCGTGGAGCTAGTGGAGACTCGCGAAGTGAAAGAGTGCTTGAGCGCGTTTTTAGAAGCGCCATCCGAGGTAAGCGGTACTGCGGAGCTTGAGCTGGAGAATAGGACCGTAGACGCTGCGGCGGCTGCGACCAGCGCAACAGCCGATGAGGTTATGCCACCTCTCATGCTTCAATCTCGGAATCTGTGCCTTTTGGTACCCCTTTGTTGGGTTTGGCAGAGGTTTCTTCGACCAGAGTTGGTGCGGATGTCGGATTGGTTTGCTAGGCAAAAATAAAGCGGCTGTAGCTCGGACCACTGGAGGTATTTAAGCGACATAGATGGGTTACTGAGGGACGAAGAATTGGGATCGATGCAAAATTTCCAGCTATTTGTACCCGTGAGAACCAGCTGACTGGCATGGATTGAGGATGTGTAAATGAGCCGCAAAGGTTCCAAACCCCTTGAAAGAACGCTACCAAGATGAGCAGAGGGCATTAGTCGGAGACCGCATTCATGCACATCGTCTCGATGTTTCCAGGTCGTAGGATGATAAAAGCACGACAGTTGTGATGCTATGTAAACCACACAAAGCACCATCAAAGGAAAAATGGATGATCATCGTCGGCTAAGAACCAAAAAGGTGTCAGAGCTGTGTGCCGTACAGCAGCAGGCTGCCACTGTGTGAATAGGTTGCAACATGCAGAACAGCCGAAAGGTACGAGAAGCAAAGCCACAAGAGCGACACAGTTGGCAGGCAGAGGTTGGAGAGCAGAGCTGGCGCAAGCCGACGCCCGGCAGTCATCCGATGTACAGTTTGCACGTCCTCTTCTCGAACCTCTTCTCTCATCATCAGTTGCCTGGGCCTAGCCAACTGCCAAAAGGAAAGGGCGGTGGCGACCCCCCCCCGCTCCTTCCGAGTGCGAATGCTCCCGAGTTGAGACGCTGTGAAGATGCCAAGTGTGTGAAGCTGAGAGTTGAGATGTCTAGATGAGGATCAGTCAGTCGTCCTCAGGGATCGACATAGGAGTGGGAGTCGGAGACGCGGGCAGCCAACGAGGATCGACGAGCGGATGCCAGCCGACTGGCTCTCGGCCGGAAGAAACCACCTGGCACCTTGGCAGCCTGACCGTCTGCAACTGGTCGTCCACCTGCATGCTGCGGATAAAACGGCCAGCACTGGCAATGCGCCGCAGTGCCGTCCTATGTGTTCCCGAATAAGCCACATGGACGGCACTCAGTGTCAGAGCGACCGACACACAGAGTGCCGCACGTTGATGGCTCAGCCGGTCTGGCCCAAGCCATCCACTCAACGACCAGTTGGTTGTCACATCACCGTCCTCGTCCCTCTCGGTCTCTCTCTCTCTACAACAGGCGACACTGTTCTTCTCGCATACTCTCATCTCGTCTCGCCGCTCATCGCGCTCAGCAGTTATTGCACACCTGGTCACACGCCACAAGGCATTACATCTGTATAGTACTTGCCAATATGTATATCCACAGTCAAAGCGGATCACCATTCATGCATAGCTCTTCGCGCATCGCGCCTCAGCTTGTCAGGCGTCAGATGTCGTGCAGCTCTCCACAGCCTGTCCGAACGTGCCATTCTGACCGTCAGCTAACTCACGAGGCAGCACGAGCTTGAATATTCATGGCCTACAAATTCACCCCCAGCGCCTCGGTTGCATGATCGCTCCTACGTGTCAGCAGTGGTGAGTGGACTATACCGTCATCAGTCTCCTACCAATGTAAAAAAGTACTTGTCCCGGCACTCTGGAAAGCTCTGGTCGGGGCCCGGGCTTCGCGATTTATCCTGGTCTTGGGGGGTAAATAAGCCTTGAGACTGGTCCAGTGCCTTCCCACGTGGACGACACTACCAGTTACTTCCACCGGAGTCCAGTGGCTGACCGCACTTCCCCCGTTGACTGAGGACTGGCCATCCCAATATCCCCATTCTCGTCCTCGCCACCCATCCATATTCCAGAGGCAGCAACATGTGCGCTAAGCCGGTCGTCCAGCTCGAGTAGTATGGGCATACAGACATGCGCGTGTGTCTGCTCTCGAGTGTCCGCCCACTTGGATTCAATCCTATCGTGTCGAGACCCGACCCGCTACCACCGTCAACGATGTTTGACTCAGAGGCACGGCAGGTTACGTCACATCCTGCACACATGTGCAGTACATACCCTCATGCCACGGCGACCACTTCGTACAGGATGTGACGAGCGAGCGATGCTTGGTGTACATGCGTACTTTCCTCTCCCCGCGGCTCATCATTGCATCATTCTCCTTCGGCCTTGGCGGATGAGAAGCTCCTGGCCTGTGGCGTCTGCACACCAGGTCTAAACACACTCTTCACGCTACAGGAGTGGACTATGTCTGCGACGATGTGTTTTCCCTCGTCCTTTCGCATAGTAGCAATTCGCCCTTCCCAGTGTCCAGTAGAGCGCAGATGAGGCTCCGCTGGATAGCGTCGACGATAATCTCATTCATTCCATTTTCCACCGTGCCTCAGGGCCTCGGGCCGCCTCTAGGTCCGAGCTCTACGAGGTGTCAAGGGAGCAACGCCAGATAAAAGCTTGCTGATGCCCCCCCTTGGTTTGCCACTCTTGATCTTCGAAGGAGAGCAAGGACGATGCGCAAAACGGTGAACACACAAGCATGTGTCACTCCGGCCCGCACCCTGCATCCTTCTCTTCCTCTGCGCTCATCCTTCTTCCATCTGTCATGAAACGATTTCTCAGCCTCTCTCGCGAGGACAGCTGACCAGAACAAGAAGCAGCAGCAAGTTCTCCTGTAAAGCATCATGCCTTCCTGCTCCTCGCGTGTGATCTCTCCTACCCAATCCTCCCTCACCCTCTTCCGCAGCTCCTTTCACCTCCATCATGCAAATTGGTGCTCCAGCACAGGTTTCCCGTCACAGTCGCCTCCACCACGCTCATCTTCCCTCCCTTCCCCATGTCCGTGCCAGGAGCCGAGGTAGTAGACAGCTCGACGAGCTCGCCTCGTGATGCCTGGTGTCACCCGCGTATATACCATGCAGCTGGTACCCCATGGAATGCCAGCGTGTCCCATCTTCTCCCTTCGCCTTCCGGGTACGCTTGCTCTGTCGCTAATCAACACGGCTTCGATCACGAAGGCAAAACTGGCAGGGGCCGAAGCAAGCCCCCTCCCCTATCACAGGCCCATTCGAAGTCAAGAGCAAGATGGAGCACGGAGAGCCTCACAGATGTTATCCATTTGTCTCATTCTCTCCCTAAGAGCCAGGTCGATACCCGGCTCGGTCGTCGACGGCCACTCCTTTCTGTATCGCCTGCCGTCAAGAGCATCGCATTGCCCTCCACACCAGTTACTCGACATCGAATTCAGCACGCTCGAGCGCCACTTTGCGCGGCCCAGCTCACGCATGAGCTCGCGCGCAACGGCCCCTTCGGCCAAGAGGAGCGCAGCAGCCGTATTGAAGTGGACAACGACGTGATACGATGACTGGCAGCAGATAGATGACGTGCTGTGCGCCGCCTCGGACACGATGCAGAGCCCCACCGTTGAAGGCACCAAGTTTAAGGCTGTCCGCGTGCAAGGTTTTCGCGCCGTGTCGGCCTTGCGGCACAGCGAAGAGGTCGTCAAGAAGCGATGGAAGGCCCTTTCCAGGTATTGGCATTGCCATACTGCTCTTCCACAAGCAGCCGCACCCTTTATGATGGCGAGCTTTTGCATATTGACAGCCATCTGCTCGCATCGAGCTGACTTCCGTCTCCTTCGTCTGCAGACAGGCTCTCCGTCAAGCGTTCTCCAGGGCTCGCGGCTTCTTCTTCATCACACCCTTGCAGGGCTACTCGTCCGCCGCGTCGTCACGATCAACAGCGGTCGTCTTCTCCAAGCTGGACTATGGCACGCCTTTTTCCCCGCTTTTCATGCGCATCCAGTTTCTTGACGACGGCTTCTCGCGGCAGAGCAGCAGCACCAGCACACTTGACGGCCGAAGCAGCAGTAGAAGCCGAGCAGTGGGGCTAAAGACGCGTCGCGTGCCGACCCACTGTCTGCTAGCCTTCAAAGCACGGCAGCACGATCGATCTCTTGCATAAGCTGCTATGCGTCTTCCAGAGTCCACTGTGCTCGGCCTCAGAACCGCTCGGATCAGACTGCAGCCTGTGTCACTTCGGACAATGCGTTGGCAACCTTGGTCCTCACGCATACATTCGACATGAGCATCGGCAAAGCCTTCACCGGCGACTTTGACGGGCGCGGACTCTTGTTCTCGCAAACACCTGCGTTCAACGAGCAGTACTACCGCTCGCCTGTGCAAGGCTCGTTGCGCCCCAGCAACGTGCTCGACGCGCATTGTCACACGCCGGTCGCAGCGTGCCAATTCGGGGCTTGCGCAAGGCCCATACCTCGTTATGCCTGCAGATGCCCAGTCCACGGTCCACTTGCGCGGGGACGTCTCTTCTGTCGACGTCGCAGGACGCTCGAGGTTCATCCTGCCTTACGCGCTGCCCACGCTTTCCCTCGACGACGGACGGTTCCTCGGTACTGCGAGGTGGGACTTGTACTCGCTAATGATCGGCGGCAGCTCGCCCTTGTGCCCTTCCCTCAGCTCGAGCAGTAACCGCATTCGAAGCAGCACAACTTCCTCTTCGGGTGCGTAGACGCCGCGGGATTCCCGCTTGCTGTGGTCTGAGAGTCCGCCTCCGTCACTACGCTTGCAGCTGATGCCCCCGACATCAAGAAGGACTTTGAACAGCTCACCATGGCAGCTGCCCCTCGTCCTGCGAATGATCTTCAATGTCTAAGCTTGCAGACCGCCACTGACTACCTCACCGAGTGACCCTCGTACGTGCCAATGTTCAGCAGGCCATCGCTCCCTCGGACGGGCAGCTTCAACGCGCTGCACATGCCCATCAGCGCGCGTGACTCGGCCAGCAACACCTTCCTCGGCAACCTCATCTCCATAAGGCGCTGCCCTTCCGTTGACTCGCACGAGTCCGGTCTCTCGGCACTGACTGAAAGAACCGAAGAGAATTACTTAGCTGTCACGGACGTCACGTTCGACATTGGCTCGGTCATTGCGCACAGACTGGACGTCCAAGTGACCCTGAGTCAGCTGCTCGAAAAGCTCAGAGCAACAAAACCGGCTGACTTTCCCTGGCGGCCATCCCCAATTCTTCGCCGGCGACGACACGCATCATCGCAAGAACCGAACTTCCTCCTCGCTCGCCTCTGCACCATGCCAACAGGAAGTCTCATACGAGTTTCACTTCCACCATTGACCTCTCGCATAGTTTCCGCAGCAGCACTGCTTCGTTCGAGCGTCCCGGTTCGATGTATGCCTTCATCTGAAGGCACACTGTCATAATTCTCGAATGCTGTACTTCCACTTCCATTTATTCAGTAGGCGTACAGATTGCCTACTAGATGTCAATCTCCCCAAGCAAAAGCGTTTGGTCCGTTGAACTCGAGACGACTGGACACATGCGAAGATAGTGAACCTCAGCGATCGTCATCGTAGGTATGCGGGAGTCGATCATGTACTCACTGATCGGCTCGTAGGGATGAAAGGCGGCTGCTGTGCAAGTGCCTTTGTGCCCCGGCAGCTTCGAGAGAAAAGGTTTAAATCAGCCCCAGCAACGGCACAGAGGGAGTGACGCCCGTGTGCGGCAGCTTACCTTGTACAGGATCTTCGACTTCTCAACACTGGAAATAGGGCAAGGCCAGAGCCTTTGTCAGTAGCGTCGTTCTACGGTAAGCTGGGGACGCAGCGAGACACTTACTTCCAAACCGTACACGTTCGATCGCCGCCGCCTACAGCGACATTTTCGCCATCAGCACTCCAAGCGACCTTGACCAGCAATTGTTCAAAGCCTGAGGTGGCCCCCGTCAGTGTCCGATGCAGTCGGGCGCTGCCGATGTGACCGGGTGGCGGCTCCGGAGCAAAAGGCCGCACGTCCCATACCCGAAGAGTGGAGTCGAGCGAAAACGAAAGGAGAGATGAGCCGGACGGAGAGAGTTGTAGTGAGGTGGGACTGTCGGTGTGACCTCGTAATGAGAACAAGATCGTTTTCCGAGAAAGGTCGTAAACCTGGTGTGCGGTGGGAAGAATTCGAGGCGGTAAGGGTCAGCATAGCAGACTTGTGGATGAGCAAGAGCAGTAAGCACCCACGTGAATATCATTATCCACGCCTGCCACGAAGACCTGACTTCCATCATCCGAGAACTCTACTGCCGTGACGGGATACCCGACCTCGATTCTGTCAAGCGGGTACTTGTCCTCCGGGTCCCACAGCAGCACAAGCCCATCATCTCCTGCACTGACGAGAATCTCCTTTCCCCCTCTTGTGCAGGCGAGGCTATTCACAATCCCCTTGTGCCCTCGTAGTCTTCGTAGTTTTTCTCCCGTTGATGGATTCCAGACGATCAACGTCCCGTCTGCGGATGCAGAGAAGAGCCGAGGTGATGTCCGCGGCGCGGATGGCGACCAGCAAATGGCTGTGACGGCTTTTGAGTGACCCTGTAACAGGGTTAAATTGGCGTTCTCGCCATATGTCTCCCACAAGGCTGGGGGGACAAGACGAGACATGCGTTAGCTGCCTGTGCTTCGTCACATTCAATCAGCTCCTGCTCACATATGGTCTTGTCTGAAGATGCCGCCGCGATCGTTTGGCCATCAGGAGAGAACTTGCAGTCCAATATCTCGGCCTGTTCAGCACAAGCGGGGGGTACATCCAGTCATATCAGAAGGTAAGGCTCCTCCTCCTCAAGCCGCCGGTCCTGCCTATACGTCAGCTCACCTTATGGGCCCCGGATAGCGCGACGATTGGAGCCTGCAACCCGCTCGTGCGCTTTATGCTTCTGACCAACCCTTTGGACTTTCCTCCGTCCGAGGAAGCAATAGCGATCTGCTTTCGCGAGCCGACATCCTCGTCGTCATCTGGCCGCGATCGCTTCACGAGCGCAGAGCTCGCGCTGCCAATGCCGTTGGGCATGATTCTCGTCGCGAGGCAATACCCAGGGTTGGGAACCAGTAAAGGCGAGCGACCAGAATGTTTTCTTTGCCCTGCCTTGTCTCGTCCGGAGTTGGAACCGAGGTCGTCTTGAGGATTGATCATCAGACTGTAGCATGGATCTATGCGGAGAGAAAGTTGAGAGGTGGTTGCATCTCCCGATGAGATTCTGGATCTCAAACTCACGCCGAGCGGAAAGGCATTCCACTTTCCACGCGATGAGCTGTCAGCTCCTCAACGCCTCAACATCTTGGCTTCGTGTATGACAATCGCATGTACCACCGCAATGAACTAAGCCCGTAAATAACCCAAGGTTCTAGGATACATGTGTTAAGATACGTTGTGCGTAAGCATTGCCGTGGCTCGTTCTACGTGGTGGCGGCGGCAGCCTCTGTATGTTGCGTGTGTGTGCGCGTGACTGAGTCGCGTAAATGTGTCACTAGACGCAGCGCCGTATCAGCAAGAATCTTAAGACTCCATACGCTGATGTTGCGCAGTCGCTGCTGATTGGCATTCTGTGACACGACGTGGTTTGCGAGGGCTTCGTATATCTGTGAATTTGAGAAAGGAGATAGGGCCATGTCAGATGCGTACTGGGCGACCGAGAGTCACGCGCTAAACGCTCACCTTGTCAGACATTATCGGAAGTAGTCCTGTCTGTGCAAGGTCCATGGACCCATCAAACTCAGTCTGAGCGGCAAAGATGTGGACTTAGACACTACAATGCGAGCGAAGATCACACAGTCTAGCAACTCACGAGGTCCATCACGATTCTCGCGTGTATTGGTATTAATGTCTGAGAAATCAATCGGAAAACGTCAGCTTTGCGGCGAACGCTTTTCTTGCATCCTACTAGCAGAAGACCCACTCGGTGCGCATTCATGAAAGCTACTATCGGCCTCACAAACGCATTGTTCCGATAGCTGAGATCTTTGGTGAAAAGCGGCACGGCAGCCTTGATATCTTTGAAGCGGACATCCAGGTCGATTATCACCGTCGGTGGCGGAATTGCAAGCTCGACATCGTCGTCATTGGCGAATTCCGACCCGGCATTCACCCCTTCAGCGCTGGGCTCATTGAATCCTTGGCGGCGCCCGTGTTGTGAAGTCACATCGCGGTTGACGCTGACTTTCTGCGCGTTCGGCCCAACGGCGGTCACAGGTGCCTCGATCGCCGGACCGCTGAGCCTGTGCTGCCCCGGAATGGGCCGGTCAACTCCGTCCTCGCCGCGCCCATCCCCGTGAACAAGGTCTGAGATGTTGGAAGCGATCTCCGAGAAGATCGCATTGATATCCACATCGTCGGGGATCTCGCGTGGGAAGCGAAGGTCAGCGACCACGTCGAAGCGCCCGCTTGTGATCCACGCCATGGGTCCGGTGAGTTCGCTCTGCTGGCTCTGGATGTGATCGATGCTGACACCGTCGATGCGTATGCGTGTCTAGGAGCACACAAATACAAGAAGGTTAACATCATAAGCAGGAGTCTCGGGCATCGCTCAAGCCGCTCACCATCTGGTCCCATCGACTCTTGTTGAGTTCTCGCTCTCGCTCCGTAGTCTTACCGATGCTCTGCGGCTTGTGCAAGCTGAAAAGACATCCGTCGACCTGTCCTGTGATGTGCTCTGCAGAAAGGAGGTCATACAAAATCCACTGCTTGCGGAGCCTTGGTAGGTGCGCGCTAAAGACGCTGTAGTTGAACGGTCGGAAGTCGCCAGGCTGATAGATAGTTACCAAAAAATCTTCGATATCCAGTGATTCCAGCTCGAAATCTCCGCGCTGGAGTTCGCGGCGAGCTGTCTTAGGGTCGTACGGCGTCTCTGGGTCCCAAAACACATTGCGACGATCAACGATACCCCGGATGCCCTTGATAACCGCGTCTTTGAGTAAGCCCTTGCCGTCCCACCACTTGCTGAAGCTGAGCTGCACATCTATGCTGTCGACGCTGAGATCGAACATGGTATAGTTGCTGTTGACGTTGTTGTCCAGATCTCGGCCGCGAGCTGCGTCGCTCATGGGTTCGGTGATCTCCTCGTCTTCATAGTACATCCCTTCCCAAGCCATACCTTGACCTGCGGTTGTAGCTGTGCCTCGTCTTCTCCGCCTCCTATCGCCCTTTACCAGAGCGTCTCGATCACGCTTGAGCGCTTCTGGGTCATTGTGTGCCCGGCGTGAGATGAAGACGTTCTTGAAGCTGATGCGACCATCCTTCCATTTCGGCACGATGGCGCTCTCGAATACGACGGTGACGCCCGTTTCGCTCGTCAAATAGTCTGCTAGCTTCCTCGCAATCCAGTGCTGCAAGTTGAGAGCGTTGAGCGCGGCAAAGACGACAGAGACAAAGGTTGTCGTTCCAACAACCACCCAAATGATGGTGCCGACCGAGCCAAGCGTGAAGAAGGCCGAGATGTCGTCCGCATTGAAGCGACGAAAAGAGCGAATGGTGAACCATTTGAAACGAATGCGCAGCCTTGTCCAGAAATTACCAGCATACTTCAGTAGGTCTTCTTTGTTTGGCCGTGTCGAAGTGCCGTGGCTGTGGCCATGATGACCTGTACCATCGGAGCTCTTGCCGTGCTCGCCTGACCCTTCGTCAGATGCAGCAGAGCGGCTATTCGATGCTTGTTGCCTTCTAAACGAAGACACTTCTAATGCGAGCTCCCTCAGGCTGCGTGGGTAATTGTGAAACGGCTCTTGGGACGACTGGGTTTGAAGTGATAAGCTAAGACGGTCTCGAAGCTCATCTTCTGGGGAAGGCTGTTCGGATGCTGAGTCCTTGTCATTTTTCTTTCCGACTTCGTTTGTAGCAACTGAGCGAGACGTATGGAGATAGCGGACGTGACCATTTCGCACGCTGCACGGAGGGGCTGCCTGTTCCCGAGCCGCAAGCTGTCTAAAGAATGCATATATGCCAAGGTATCGATCCTTGTCTTCCAAGGGGATCTGCCGTGCAGCAGTAATCACACGGTGTGGATTGGATGCACCTGCTGAACGCAGGCTCTGAGCTCGCAACCCTTCCTGCAAAAGCAATAACCTTGTAACCCTCTGCATCATCGTCAAAAGCTGCCCAATAGAGCAGGTTCGTTAGTGGCGTGGCGACCCGCCGCGGCGAACGTGCCAGACTGCGAGGGTGTTGGATATCAATTGTCAGCACGCATGCCGGTCGAAGGCCTCTTCGCTTCCAGATTTCCTGTACGCTGTTTCTCTGCCATGTGGGAGGGAATCGTGCGACTGCAAAGGTATACCGCCACACCGACGAAGAATGGCAAACGTTAAGCTACATTTTAAGGATATTGGTTGCTCTGCAAGCGTGTATTTTATGGTTAGCAAACCCCGCCGCTTTTAAGACAGCGAAAGCAGAGTCCAGCTTTCGGCCGAGAGAGGTTAAAGCGAGCGAATCGCCCTCGCAGATGCTCTCTTATTCTCTCACCCTCTTCATCATCAGCACAACTCCAATTCAAGTTTACTAAACTAGCATCACCTATTCTGAACCCCTTAAGCAGGCGAACCTATCTGAAGTCTATTCATTCCAACCCGAGAAGGCGAAGAAAGAGCGAAAAAATCCGCCAAAATGCCAGTTCCGTGGGAAGCGATGCTGCCAATGGGCTTGGTGGTTGTTATGTTCGGCGTCACCGGCTCTGGTTTCAGCTTGGCAAAGCGGATGACCAACGAGGGTAAGGTGAGTGAACTTTCTACTCTTGATCGAACCTTCAGGCTCCATATATGCAGGAAAGTGTCAAAGAGGGCATTGCACATGTCAGATCTGGTGGAGAACTACGAGGGTCGGGCAGCGCTCAAGGCCCTCATCGTTCTCAGATATTCGCTGCGTTTGTCTCCCGTGCAGCTCGCGTGTCGATAGGCAGAGCCTGCAAGGCTTCCTATGGAGGACGAAAACAGTTATCAGGTTTACGCAACCGATTCGTCGGCATGTTGAACGTTCCGTTGGGAAGCGTTCCGTCCCAAGACGCAGATGCTGATGGACTTTTGCCTTTATTCTCACGGTTTGTAGCCCGCAAGGCACAGTCTCGACGACTGGGAACACATGATGATGCAGAGAGACCAGAGATTGACAGGGTCATTACGAGGGCAAGCAGTGAGTCGCAAAAACGTGGAGAGAATCCTCTCGATGAAATCCGGGTACTGCTGGACTGACCAAAACGACTTGTGCTGGCGGCATCTCGGCACACCCGCTCCCTCAGGTGAATCCTGTCGCGCCACCCAACTTTGCTACTTCAAGCATCTGGACAACGGAGAGGGTTCAGACCTGATTCCTGTCTTGCCAGAGATCGTGTACCATGATCGACTAGAAACGCGAAGTGCTTTGATTTTATGTGAAAGGAAGGCGCTGCGCAGTAACGACGTACATGCAGAAAGGCTATCTAGACGAAGCAGCTGATGCTTCTCGCAAGATCACCCTGCACTCGTTGGCAATGATCTTGACATCGTTTATCCCAGCCTCGATCCATTTTGAGATGATCGGCTCCCTTTGACCCCAGAGTTTCTCCGCTTCAGTCAATCCCTCTGTAGTGACCTGCATGGCTCGCGCGACGGGTCCGTCTGCACCTACTTCCGCTGAGCTGTCATGTGCAACCAGCGCGTCACGAAGGCGCATCGGTAGGTCGACAATCATGAGCAGCTCCTTCTGTGTAGTCGAGTCGAGCTTTAGGACTTTGGCATCGGATCCTTCACCTATCCGGACGTCGAGCACGTCCTTCTCTACTTGTAGCTGCCGAGTTTGGCCAGTGTTGCTGTTGCTCTGCTGCTCTACTGGATGCACGCCGGGGGATGCTGCATCAATAGGCTTTGCTTCCGCTGCTGATCCTGTCGCATCCGATGTAGCGGAACACGAAGCAGGAGGAGGCCTCGGAAGTGCGAGGTCGGAGAATAGCTGGGAGATGTTGGAAAAGGATGCCCGAAGTGCATCGAGCGAGCCATCCAGCGACTCGGCACGCGCTTTCATCTGTTGGAGAGCACGGTTTCAGATGAGTGCTGTGTCTGACACGGAGTTTAAGCACGCACTTTTGCAATCGTTTCACTTGCCGCGATGAGCTCGTGGTGGTGGTTGTACACCAACGATTGCCGCTCCCCATCAAGCTCGCGTAGCTCTGTCGACATGCAGGAAACTTGAGCTGAAATATTCTTTCCAACGTAAGCTCCATAAAACGCACCAGTTAGAAGATCACACTCTCTCTTGAGAAGCTGAGGTAGAGTACTCGACGCCACAATCGATCGATATGCAGCTTTTTTGTCAAAAGACGCGGAGTCTGTGCGATGCGTCGCACGGTCAGACAACGAGTGTATACGAAAGCAAGCCCTTCGCCTGCTTACCAGGGTCTGTGGGATCTTCATTTGCAGTGCTCAAGCCGCCTCCCAGTCCATAATAGTCGCGGAGCAAGGCGCTCGCTTTGCCCTTGCGCTTCGGTCGGATTGTTGCACCGCCAGCTTTGATTTCAAGTGTTGCCTTTGCGGGCGACGATTGGTCGCTTGCAGAGGCGGTGACTGCCATCTTTGCCAGTATCTGTGTCCTATACTCTTACTCTTATACTCTAGGAGTCACGTCGGTTGCTGCAGAAGGTGGGTTATTCTGTCTTCAAGGATTGGGACGGCAAGGGAGTCGCTTGCAGGCAGTGACTGTCGTCATCGATGGCCACAACAGCTGCGAAGTGCGTCGTGGTGTACCCCAAGGCATCGGGCCTCCGTAAAGCGTTGCAGTGGCTGGCCGAAAGTGAGCAACGGCTGACAATGGATTGCCACTGTGTTCGGTAGCTGCGGATACCCACCCTGACCTTTCCATGTGAATGCGCAATGATGAACAGACAAGCCGCCTACGGCTCCGGAAACGACGACAACCAGAACCCGTAACGACGAAGAGAGTGACTTCTTTCTTTAGCACCCCCAATTCCCGTGATGAAAAAAAGAATAGAGCCTCATCAGACGGATGACCATGCTGCCATACAACGAACGCCAAACGGCCTCGACGTCCGTTCTTCCAGCGCATTGCCACCTTGACGGCCACGAACGAAGCGGCACAGGAATGCTGCTCACATAGACTTTGCTCCTGTTTTTCCAAGCCCAACATTCCAGTTGAATGATCCTATCTTTGTCCGCGTGACATAGCGTACTACTCGCCGAACATGGCCAAAAAGTCTGGACCGCCTTCGGGCTCACAGCCAGTCTTGGGGCCGGGAGCTTTCGAGTTGCTCGCCACGCCACAGTCCGTGGGGAATCCGTCGCCTTCCATCTGCCTTTCAATTACTCAATTCCGGGGTGGGTTTTGAGCGTGTCTCTTTCCAAGCCAACGGGCATTCTGTGCACTACCGTGGATCTTTGCGCATGTTCTGACTGGCCTGCTATGCTGATCACAGAATTCATGCGGCAGTACCGTTCATTAGACGACGGCGTCACTACTCGTCTCAATAGAGTGATGGCTCGATCTCGTGACATGGGCCTCTCCTCTTACCCCTCTCTGCTCTCTTCCCATTCATCATCGTCAACGTCAATCGACATCGGCACATCGACGTACAGCGTGGTACCCGAAGCCGTGTGCGCGTCGTTCTGGCAGGAGCTCATGAGCGCTTGGACCCGGCGCGAACAGGCAGTCCGATACTGCCTGACCGTCGCGGAGCGCTCTCTGGTGGAGAAGCAGGCACAGGCGGCAGCGGACGCGGGGATAGAGCCCGGCTTGGACGCAGAGAGGAAAGATGCATCCCTGTTTGCATCGGCCGCGTCAGGTCGAAGAAGCAGTTCGCGCGACAAGTTCGACGACAGGAGCGGCCGGGCTGAGGCGCACGACGAATTCATGGTGTGTTTGTCCTGAGCTACATGATGAAGCTCTTTTAGCTCGGAAATTAACGCTGACCCCTTCGCACGTGCATGCTCAACGGTCACATGCAGCTGCGGCAACTACATAACGAGCTCGCGGTAGAATCAATACTTCGCAGGCGCTCGCTCGACGTCTTCAAAGCACGATGTAGAACCTTCCAGCCACGACTGCGAGACGAGCGCGAACATGCCATGTGGGAGGGTAAGGACACGCCCGCTGCGCAATATAGTCAGCAGCAGGCTGCGTCTGTGTGATCACAGCACTCGGCAGTGCTGTCTGCTAGATTCTACCATTTGTACGCGGTCATTCACCATGAGCGCACGAGAATCGGATGCAATACAAATGTCTCTTCCACCGCTTTCCCTACGAGTCCCCAAAAGCATTGGGCATCTATGCCCTGCCTTTCACATACAAAATCACGCCAAACCACCGCGCTCCTCAGTTGCTATCGCCGCTGTCTCCCTCCTGCATCGCCGTTCGCGGGAGAATCCATGTCCATCTCCATGCGCTGCCACGTCTTGTCGCTCTTGATGTACCCCTCGTTGCTGCGATTCCCCAGGCGACCAGTACCAACAGCCGCCGCCGCGACGTCCTCCTCTTCGCTTTCGAACAGCTCACCGTTCCATATTGCTGGTGATGCCCGATGGGTCCTGCGTCCGCCCCGCCGCGCTGGGCTTTTGCCAGCACCATTGCTTTTGCCGTTGCTGCTGGATGCGTGACTCTGACCGTGACCGTGAGCAAGGGCGGCCACCTGGTTCTCCTTGCCGGCGCCCGCGCGGCGCATCCAGCCTTCGACCAGCCGCGCGTCCGGCGTGGTCGCATGGAAGCTCACCGCGCGAGGATTCAGCGCGGACCCAGCGACGGCGGCGTAGTACGCATTGGCCTGCACAGCCGCCGTCGTGAAGCCCTTCACAGCTGCCACACCATCCTCCACTGCCGCTGCCGCTGCCGCTGCCGCCCGTGCGCCGCGTCCACCTCCAGTTGCTGCTGCTCCTCCCAGAGGCATGCCAGCGGTGGCGCGCGCGGCGAAGAAGGTGCGCTTGACGCGCTTGGTGCGCGCACCGCGCGAACGGTGCCCGCCGAGCGCGTCGAGCAGGCGACGCTGTTGCTCAGCGGGGTCGTCCTCGTTGTCCGAGCAGGTACCATATGAGAAGCGGTTGACCAGGTAAGAGGAGGCGAGATCGTGTCCGAATGCCGCTGCGCTGCCGTTGTGCTTGAGTTTGAAGCCTGCGCCTGCGCGGCCGCCGTGCCCGTTCGCAAGGGCCATGGGGGTTTGCTGACTGCCGATGCGCGACATGCCCGAGCCTGTTGCCCGCACGCGCGGCCGTGCATCTGCCATTGCCTCGTCCGAGTCCGCCTCCTCTTCGTGCTCTTCTTCTGCTGCTTCCTCACCCTCCTCGCGCGCGGGATCCTCGTCCTCATCCTCGTCACCCGACAGCTCGTCGCCATACCGCTGGATGTGCGCATCGCGCAGACGCCGCGATATCCGCCGATCCAGGTCTGAGTCCTCGTTGCCAGACAGCTCCGCAGCAGCGGACGAGTTAAGTGTCAGCGGCACGCGTGGCACGTCGACCATCTGCGCGCTAGGCGCGAATGGAAGGCTGCGCAGGTTCTCAATGATCTTCGTCCTGGACAAAGTTGCATTTGTAAAAGAGTTAGAGCGCACGAGCTGGAGACACACTCCACAGTAGACTCACCTCAGACCCTCGAGATACTCCCTACTGTTCAGGTCCTCCATGCTTGTCCGCGGGACGTCGAGCTTATATTCGGGCCCAAAGTAGTGCATGTAGTCGTTGAATGGTAAGTTCTCGTCGAGCTCCTGCCCGAGCAGGATGCCTGTTTCGTACGTCCACGTGCGCGCGACGTTGCGCACCGTGTATCCACCGCCGCCGACGACGACGAGGGGTACTCCAAACGTGCGCATGAAGCGAACACAGTCGGCGTGACCTGTTGGTCCAACAAGGAGGAAGAGGTGTTAGCGTACACGGTATCGGTTGGAGGTGCTCGCCACGAGAGGAAGGATTCCGGAAAGGAAAGACGCACCATCGATGCTGAGATTGAAGCAGCCGAGCTTGTCGCCTGCAAGACTGTCCGCGCCGCACTGCAACACCACCGCACCCGGTTGGTACCACTGCATGATATACCCAATGACCTCACGGAAGATGAGCCCGAAGCTCTCGTCCGTGATGCCGTCTCTCAGAGGCACGTTGACCGAGTACCCCTTGCCCTTACGTATGCCGGCGTCGCGGACGTCGCCGGTACCCGGGAAGAAGTCGCCATACTTGTGGAAGCTCGCGGTGAGCACGCGGTCTGTCGAGTAGAACGCCTCCTCGACGCCGTCTCCGTGGTGGATATCGATGTCGATGTACAGGACGCGCAGGTGCGAGCGCAGCAGCTCGAGGATAGCGAGAACGATGTCGTTGACGTAGCAGAAGCCGGACGCCTCGCGCTTCTTGGCATGGTGCAAGCCTCCGGCCCAATTGATCGCAATATCCGCCGCGCCCGAGTTGAGCGTCTGCGCTGCAGCGATGGACCCACCGGCACTGATGCTGCAGAATTCAAACAGGCCTTCGAACCCGGGGCAGTCTTCTCCGGTCAGGAAGCGCTGGTTCCCGCCGGTGAGCGCGTCGACGGTCTCGGGTGTGACCTGTTGGAGAAAGTGGATGTACTCGTCCGTGTGGAACTTGGTCATTTGCTCTGGCGTTGCACGAGGAGCGCGAAGGACCTGCATGTGCCGCTGCAGGCCATAATTGGAGATGAGGTTGTGCGCCATGCGCATCCGGTGCGGCTTCATGCAGTGGCCGTAGCCGTACGAGTAGTTGCCGACATCGGCTGTCAAACAGCGGGGGTGGAAGGTCAGAATGCGACTCGGGATCAAAGCAGAGAGGGAGGAAAAGCAAGCAGGCACTCACGATCGTAAAAGTAGCTGACACGCTGCTTGATCCCGCGATCGACGTAGGCAGGTCCTGGATCCATGTTTGCTCCTGCCTTCTTTGCACCGTCGGAGCTGTTGGATGGACCAAGCTGGGAATGAGAGATACAAGAGCGGGCCAAGGGGGGTCGTCGTCGTCGTCCTATGTACTACTGTTGCCCGAGCGCGCTCTGCAACAGCTTTCGTTGCGCTGCGTTACACACTTGGAACCCAAAGATTAGAGCGCGATCCGCGGATACCCTTTTGTCGATTGGGCTCTGCGTGCGAGCGATACACACTTGCTGCTGCCGACTCTATCTCGACCTTGTTTTGGGAGGGGGGATGGGGAAGGTTGTCGGGGGGTCGTGGATCAGGAAGCGTGCTTCGTCGTCGTCGTCGTCGTCGTCGTCGCCGTCGTCGCCGTCGTCATGGCGCCGTTCCTCTCTCCCCAGCCGTCGAAGGTGAGAAAGCATGTGCGTGCGTACATACCCTTGCGCGGGTCACCGCCTGTGTACTCAACACATAGAGGGGCTGGCGGGCGGAACCAACGAGAACGAGCAACCTTCGCGGGGAAGGAGTTGCACCGATCGGAACAATTGGAAACACGGAACACGGAACACTTGAACTGCAATTTTGACAACTGGGAAATGACGAATGGATGACGATGGCCAACCCTTCGGATGACTACATATACTTCCCCGTCGCTCGTTTCGCTGAGGCATATGTTACCTATCATGCATGTTCGCACCCGGCTGCATCTGCGCTCAGCTTTGGTCCTTACTAGATCAGCCTGACGAACTGACAAACAGCGCAGCAGCCAGTGAATAGGATCCTACCTGCAAGATGGGAAAGAAGAATCGGGCATCAGCGGCCCAAGCAGCGGCCAAGGCGCCTGCCTCATCCAGTTCCGAAGGCAAGGCCATAATGCCCGCTAGCCAGCCGACTGTCGATGAGCCGGCGAAGAAGAAGCAAAAGAAGCAGATATCCTCCCCATCTTCCTCTGGCGGGAAAGCGAAAGAGACGGGGCCGGCTCATCCGCTGCCGTGCACCATTGGCCAATTCACCGCTGTGCCTCTTCGGCTGCCCTCCAAATTCATCAAGTCGACGCCGTACCACTGGATCTACATCCGCGCGCATGCCTCCAGCGAAAGCGCTCCTACCTCATCCGCTGGGCCTGGCTCCTCGAAAACAGCGGAGCTTCCCGCCGAGCGCACCCTCTTCGTCGCCAACCTGCCAGTCGAGGCTACCGAGCGGCATTTGCGCGCCCTGTTCCAGCCCGCCGGCGGCAGGGTGCAACGCGTCATCTTCCAGGCGGCCAAGAACCTGTACGAGCGCGAGGAGCTGCGCCGAAGAAGCCTGCTTCCTTCGTCTGGTAGTGATGGTGCGGATGGCGTAGAAGAGGAGGAGGACGAGTATGAGGACGTGGACGACGGAGAGGATGAAATGCCGGATGCCTCCACAGCTGAGGTGCACAGTGTCATGAAAGCAAAAAATAAGCAAGCACAGAAAGGCAGCAAGAAGAATTCCAAAAGCATATCCAATGCTCTCCTCTCCTCTATACCGAGCATCACAGCTCTCCCGAGCATGGACCCGCGCGTCGCATCCAACCCATCCTCTTCCGCCTCGTCGAAAGAAGCCAGTATACCCGTACCGCCACTACTGCCAACCGGTTCGTCTGCACACGTTATCTTCCTCGACGCCAGCACGCTCACGCGCGCTGTGCAGCTCGCGAAAGAAGGCGCGCTCACCCCGCGCGGCTGGGCCAACCCGGACCCATTTGCGGACCTCGCGCTGGCCGAAACGGAGGCCAGCGCGCGTATACCGCGAGGAGGAGTGCATGCAGGTACCGCGGCCGGGTCCGACACGACTGGGAACGCGAATGCAGGCGCGGGCGTGGGCGCCAACATGACGGCGAACGGGAAAGTGGACGCGGCAGCACGTGCGGCTTTTGCGGCGGGTGCACGCGCGCCGCCACTCGGCCTCGCGTACCTGCTCGCCGCGCACGACCTCGCGCGGCCATCGCTCGGCGCCGTGCGCACGTATGCGGACAGCTGCATTGCACGCTACGAGTACCTGCGTGCGCACCCGGCTGCCGCCGCCGCTGCTGATGCCGCGAATGGAGGCGGTCCCGGGAAGGGGGAGCAAACGAAAGGAGGCATCGAAGCGGTTAGCGTCGGCCCAGATGGAGAGCTGCTGGACGCGGATGGCTTTGTCATCGTACAGCACGGCGGAAAGTACGGGCGCGCGAACGCCGGGCAAGGGCAAGGCGTCGGTGTCATTCGCAAGTACGCCTCTGCTTCCGCTCCTGGCAGCGACATGGCGCAGACTCAATTGGGTCAGGAACAGAAAAGGCAAAAGAAGAAGCGTGCACTGGAGCTGGACGACTTTTACAAGTTCCAGCGCCGCGAGAAGAAGCGCGATGAGTTGGCCGAGATGCGTGCGCGCTTCGAGGCGGACAAGGAGAAAGTGCGCAAGCTGCGCGAGGGCCGGAGGTTCAAGCCGTGAGTGTAGAACACTGAAAGAGGAGCGTATGACGAATGGGGCTCGCTGACGCTAATCGTTCGACACCTCTACTCCTATATTCCAGTTATTGAATGCCCAGCAGCACGTGCGCTAGAGAATCATGGACGGTACTTTGCATTCTACCCAATATATGTACAAGTTGCAGACCTCGATGGAATTGCCTGTCTGTATCCTCAAGCTCCGGCCCCATGACATGGCGCAAGTCTCACTCTGACTGCGCATTTGTATACCGTCATTAGCCCCGAACCTTGCCTGCCTGTCGGTGCGAAAGAGAATATTGCCTACGAAGTATACACATCGTCGTACGCAGGCGGCAACTCAGGGTCGCAGGGATGGAGGATGCTCGCTTGGCGGCGCGGGGAGAGCTGTGCGTCTTGCGCTTGCTCGTGCTGCCCGACGATCGCGCCGCGCTGCGCCGCTTCGCGCTCGCGCTCCTCGAGCTCAACAACCACTTGCGCTGCTTGTAAGTCGTCGTCGTCGGGCAGTATGCCTGACGCAGCTGTGTTCGCAGACCCGCTGCCGCTTGCGTTTGCGCTGGCCCCCGCCGGCTCGGCAGGTGGCCCTGCTCCGTGCGCCTGCGAGCGCTGCGACGATTCCGCGCCCGCATCAGATGTCGACAGTGACAGCGCGGCAAGCGCATGCTGCGGCGCGGGCGGCTCGTACAGCGGGAGGCTCTCCATGTGCTGCGCGCGGCCATGCATCTCCTCCATGCGCACTTTGACCTCCTCGACGGCGCTGCGGAACTCGAGACCGCGGCCCTCGTTGAAGTACATCGTCCACATACCCTTTGCTGGGCTGTTCGCAGAGGCAGGCGAGGATGCTGAGGCTGTATTGGTGACTTCGGGCAGGCCGCCGCCGGGGACGGGGATGATCGCCGCTTCATAGTACGGTGCGCTGAACACTGGAATCATGTAGCGCGTGTCGAGGAAATTGGACAGCGGGACAGAGAGCGATTGCAGTACATCGGACGTCACAGCGTGTGGCGGAAGCAGCGGTTGGCGCAGGAACATGACCTGTCACAACATGGAGATCGTCATCAGTACTCGGTTCTCAGCATGCAAGGCAGGTCTAAGAAGCCTGTCGTGAGTGCTCGCTTCGAAGCGCGAAACGTACCCGCTGATTTGTGACGTAGGCGGTTCCCTTTGCCTTCCACTTCTTCTCTCCTGCTGGCGTCTTGAACGATAGACTGTTTCCCACAGCGTCCGAGAAGGAGGTGGGCGAATGAAGACGCCCCATGTCAGCATTGTAGAACGTCGACTCGAGTCACACCCGGCAAGTTCACTCGACAGCCAAAAGCCTCCACACGAGGTTGCAGAGCCAGCCACGATAGGTTGCCACCAGCATCTTACGGGCCGAGAAAGCCACACGAGACCTATTCGAATCAAGACAGAGAGCCTGTCGCGCAGGGCGCAAGCAACAGCGCAGCACCTACGCACTTGAGCTCACAGCCGGGCGCAAAGAAGAAGACCTTCTCGGACGGCAGCGGAACGGGTGCCGTGCCGTCCTCGTTGAGCATGGTCCAGTTGAGTGCCATCTTGGAATTCGAGGCGGCGAGGTGCACTCGTCCGTTGACTAGAGGTGAGGCAGGCCTTGGAGGAGGAAGAGGATAGGGGCCAGCGCCAGTGGACGGTGGAAGCCGATTCGAACAAGAGACGACGATCAGGATGCCGACGAACAACACATGCGCTGCGCGATCTGGGCGGGTGCCGTATGTGGGTGTCTTGCTGCCCCTCAACCATGTATTGAAGAGACGCCTGCTGACCGTGATGTTGACTGCATTCAACCATCGAGAGTGGTAAGGGCGTAGTAGCGCGTCCAGTATTGGTGCCTTGACGCGGGCGAGAGACTTGATGCTTTGTTATCAATAGTAGGGTTGCAGATACCGGTCTGAAGGGGAGTCCAAATTATACAAGCAGCGCGCCGCCATGCGCAGAGCCCGAGAGCAACACCACTAACATGTTGACCATGCGTTCTACATATCACACACATCAATGCATAACAATCCCTATCAACCGAATCCCTTTCATGGGCTAGGTCCACATCAAAAAGCAGGTCAGTCGCAATACCCCTACGGCGTGGACAACTCATCTGTGCTGCTCCATCGACGAGGCGCCGCACGCTCGCCGACGAAAGACGCGAGCAAAGCGGACATCGCGCGCACAGCGCTTTGTCCGAACATGCCCTTCCACGTCCGCTACCGGTCGCTCTCCTCGGCGCAAAAGTCACCCGGTCCGACGCCCTCACCGGTTCGGGCAGCCCATTTCCCGCACTCAGCCACGTCTGCAGCGCAAGCGTCCGCGCTCTCGCCGGCCGCAGCATCCGCATCCGTAGGCGGCTCCAGCTCAAGGTCCTCCTTGGGACCGTCCTCCGCGCACCAGCATGTGCGGAGCAACAGCTACCATCACGATACGTCCAGTCTCTCAACATCGTACACGACTGTGGCGCGGGGGATACATGAGATGCTGAGCCCTGCAGCTGCGTATGAAGCCTCAGGAGGAGGAGAGGAAGCAGGCTATTATACCTACCACGCCGCATCACATGACCGCAACACAGACTACGAAGCCGGCTTCGGACTGGGCGCCGCTACCGCCAGCGCGGATGTCACCCGCTGCCGCATGTACGATGTCGTACTTGAGGACGGCACAAGCGGTGAGCTCGACGGTGACGGAGATGCAGAGCGATATAACCACGAGCGAAGAGTCGCAGGGCGTGAGTAGCGCCGACGCGTCTGCAACCCTTGCTTCAAGCTTACCCCTTGCCATCTCTTCTCTGCAGCTGCGCTCCTCCCGTGGCTTGGCTCGGTTGTCATCGACCAAAATGGCACCGTGGGCGCCGCCAACGGGTCAAGTCGGACGGGAACGATAAGCAGCAACGCGGACTTTCCGAGGAGCGGTAGCGGCAGCAGCATTACCGCCGTCAGGAGCCCGGCCACCGGCGAAGGCGCAGAACACGGAGGTGGGAAGGAGTACAACTGGAACAAACTGCAGGACCGACTGATGGAGCTTCTTGAGACGGAGAGGAGCTATGTGAAGAGGATCGAGATCTTGAACTCGGTGCGTCGTTCTCTACAGGAACCGTGCCATGCCCATGTCATGCCATGCCATGCCATGCCATGCCCTGTCCTGTCCTGCTGACAAGCAAGCGCTGGTATCATTTATCCCGTATGGCACCATTCGCAGTGCTATGCCATCCCGCTGCGACAGCTTTCTCGCGATCGTGACACGGCAATCCTGCCCCTCTATGAGGCGCAGCGGCTGTTTGGCAACATTGGCGAAATCGTCGGAGCGAACAAGGCCTTCCTGCAGCAGCTCGAATCGCTCATGCAGGGCGGGCTGAAGCATGCGCTACAGGGTCTAGGGGATGCAATGTATCAGCATGTAAGTTGCACGACTCTCGCGAACGTGTTCGCCCCATCTGTGGACCAGCTGACCGCCAGCCGGTGTGCACGTGCGCTTCCAGATGATGTGTTGCTCGTGCTACAACGAGTACTTTGCAAACATCGAAAAGGCGAAGCACATCGAGCAGACCATGAGCAAGAAAAAGACTTTCAAGGAGTACCTCGAGAAGGTCAAGAGCACCACCTCGGGGATCGGCAACGTGGGCGTGCGCGAGCTGCTCATGGAGCCAGTGCAGCGCATTCCGCGGTACACGCTAATGCTCAACGGCCTCGTAAAATACATGTCGCAACGTGATCCGCAGCGCATTCGGCTCGAGGAGGCCGTCGTACTCGCGAGCCGCATTGCGAGCTGCGAGGCGGACGACAAAACCAAGCGCGCCGCGGTGCTCTGGTCCTTCTCGCGCAGCGTTGAGGGCTTCCCCGCCGAGCTGATCAGCGCGCATCGCGAGTTCATCGACTCCGTCGACGTGGATGACTTCCCCGCCGAGAGCCTGATCGCCGCGCTCGGGCCAGCGGCGCTCTTCTCGCCCGGTGGCGTGCAGATGGCGACGCGCACGCTGCACGTCACCCTCTTTCTCTTCGACGATCGTCTCGCCGTCGTCAAGCGCAGCACGCCAACCGCGTCCGGCAGGCAGCTAGTCGGTCTCGATGACCTGTCCAAACTGGCCGACCAGATGAAGGCTTACACCGAGAAGCACAGTGGCGGCAACAGCAGCAGCGCCGGCGGCGGGAGTGCACTGCTCGGCTACGGCAGCAAGAAAGGTGAGCTTGCGTTCCGCGGGATGATCGACCTGCTCGACGTGCAGGCGTACGACCTCGGTGGCCCGGACTTCCAACTGTCCTTCTTCAAGATGATGTCCAATGTCTCGGGCGACCGCTGGGCCAACCGGCCGACACGGCAGTACGTCGTCAGCGAGACGAACGGCTCCGCAGCTGTGCCGGCGCGGATGCAGAAGACACGCTTCCTCGAGAATCTCTGGAGAGCGCAGGCGCTGCTCAAGACGCGAGGGCATAGGAGCCATGCGCGCTGCGAGATATTGCCCGCAAGCTTTGACAGTCGCGATAGAAGCATCGTCCTGCCCAGGCAGGTCATCTACTGGAATATCTATACGCGAAGGAGCTGGCTGCAGGAGCAAAAGAAGGTGTGTGCATCCTTGGTCGTGTACGTGTGGTCTGTTGCTGACCCTATGCGCCCACCGGTCCTACATTGGTACTGCAGACGGCTGTTGTGCTGCATGTCGTTCTGAACGAGGCAGACGCAGCCGAGGCGCTTCCGCTCGGTCCGGAAGAAATGCCGGCGCATGCGGCCGTGCGCATGGAGGATCTCGACTTGGATGACTGCTTCTGCTACCTGCGCGTACACACCCGCGAAGAAGGCTGGGCGAAGCGCACCGAGCGGGTCAGTCTGACCTCGTTGCATGCCTTCATGGCGGATGTCGCCTCAACGCTTCCGGCTGACAAGCAAGACTTCCGCAACACACTCAGCCCCGATCCATCTACGCCGTCCACCTCCAAAAAGGGCGTCGTGGAAGGCCTAGAGAACTTTGGCCGCAATCTGTTGCATGCTGCCACACCCGGAAGCATCCGCAGCTCGACGGACAGCGAACCGTACTCAACTGCTGGCAGGCGCAGCAAGGCGTCATCTGTGTCGTATGGTCAATCTAGCATGAAGACCCACTCTGCTGCGGGGACCTCTGCGACGAAGGCGACAACCTCGAGTAGAAACAAGGAAGGAACGCCTGTCAAGAGCAAGGACATCGGCACAACAAAGGAGAAGCACGGCAGCGCATCGCCCAGCCCAAGGAAGCTCGTGAAGAAGGGAGCGATGTCCTCCTTGGGGCCGGGAGGACCATTGTCGTCCAGTCCTTCTGGCACGCCGACACGCATTGAAATTCTTTCTCCGCGCCCAGATGACCACATCCCCACGCGCGAGGGCGAGAAAGGGGCGGCACAATACACACCAAGGTCGAGTCCGCGCGCTCGGCACCTCAGTCTGCCTTATGATGCGACACAGATGCCTCCGCATGAGCCTGCTTCTCCGAAACGAACTCCACAAGCGTTACCAGCCAAACGCCAACCCAGCCCCAATCTGCCATCGAAGCTTCGTGGCGTGCCATCCTGCGAGCGCAGCATGTCCGGCTCCAAGCGCAGCGCCCCGCTGGATGCGACGCCAACTGGCAAGCCACCCAAGCGCGCTGCGCACTCTGTAGATGGCTGTCCATCACCGGTGAACGTCTCTCCTCACCCAGGCATCCTCTCGCCATCGCCACGTGTGAATGCGCCGCCTCCGCCGGCCGCGTATGCCAGTGACAGCAGTCCGTCCGGACATCATCGCTGGCGACAGAGTCTCAAGCGGCAACAGTATCGCGCAAATGAGCGACGCGAAGCCTTTGCGCAGATGAGACAGTTCCTCGTGGGTGTTGAAGACAAACGCGAGCACATGAGCAACAAGGAGTTCAACGGGGTGAGTGTCTTCATGTCGACTGTGTGCTGGGTCTCGATGCTTACGAGGCGCATTCGCGTCCCTACAGCTTTCCAAAGACCTCAACCTTCAGCTCTTAAAGTGGCTTGCAGACGCAGAGGGCGACTTTGACGCTGAAGAACAAGACCTGGCAGTCATTTTGCATCACGGCCCAGGCGTTCCCGTCGCAGTCACGTCTGAGGCGGAGTTGCAAGCCTTACGCGAGGAAGCTGCGAAAGTGCAGCCTCTTCGCACCAGAATGATGGGGCTCGAGCGCAAGTGCGAGCTGCTCACAGCGCTCGAAGCTGATGGTCGTTTAGAGAACACCGAGCTGCACAGGGTGAGTGCCATTTTTGTCTGCTCTGTATGTGGCCATCCTGGATCTGACAATGCTTATTTCGTGCAGGCCTTCAACGAAGAATTGGACCACATGTACGAGGATACGCAGGCGCCCGAGAGTCACGAACTCGCAGTGCTGCGCAAGGAGATCCAAAGGACCAAGGCCGAAAGGAACGAGATCAACATGAATCTAAGGTGAGTCCCAAGTTCCGATTGCAAGGCTTCCAAAGGTTGAACGCGGTATGTCTTTCCGTTCGCAGACGGCTTCGCCGCGACCTTGAGCTCCAGGCGTCGGAGCTCGAGACGTGCAAGCAGATACTATCGGATAGCGGATTGCTATGATTATTCTTCGGGCTTTTTGATTTGATGAGAGGCTGGACCTGTCCGTATCCGCATTCAGCAGTCGCAATTCCTGTAATGCAATTCCTGTAAGATCCCGCACGCGCACCACTCAGAGCAGCGCCTCGCTCGACGGGCTTGCACACGATACACAATATGCATAAAACGTTTGGTTGTCTGTAACATGTCCGTATCGAGGTATCACTCTGGCCCACGTTGTGAACAAGAAGGCACCTGGAAAACCCGCGGAGAAATCCATGATGGAACGTGCGACAACCTCCCCGGCCCACCAACATTGGACAGGCGCCTGGCCTAACCTAGCCTAGCCTGAGCTAGCGGTACTGAGACCCGCCGAGGCCCTGGTTGCTGCTGAGGCCCATCAAGACGGCCGCGTCCTTTGCGGTCAGCTGATCCGGGTTCTCCCTTGCTCTTGCCTTTTGTGTCCTGGCTCGCGATGTGGGCGACGGCGGCCGCGGAGGAGGGTTCATGCGTTGAGCCTCCTTCAAGGAGATGGTTGCGTTGTTGTAGGAAGAGATGACAGGGACTGCATAGGAGCAAGCAAATGATTCGACGTTTGTTCAGTCACTGAGGAAGTACCTGCAGTCTTGCACAGAAGACTCACAGCTGTGATCTCTTCCGATGGTAGCCTTCATCAGGGACTTCATCCAGTCCCTGACGATGATGGGATCCTCTGAGCTGAAATAGTGCGGCTTTTCGTGCTCGTGGAGCAGTTTGAACCCGTACTTGCCAGGGTTGACGTTCTCGTCCGAGATAAGCTTGTAGCCCTTCATCGAGATGTAGCCCTTGATCTTGTCGGCCTGCAAGCAAGCAAAAGCAGGGGTCAGAACACATTGTGCCTCCGTGAGGAAGAGCAAGTGAGCAAGCGGCCACTCACTTCTGGATCCCGCAGGATGACCAAATCGCTACCCTTGAGCGCGAGATACCTCGGTTTCCACGCATTATACCTCTCCCCTTTCTTTTTCATCCATCCCTCAAAGTCCACCGGCCTGATGCGCGACATGACCGAACCCTCCCTGACCTCAGTCGGGCTGACAGGTACCTGGCCCCAATCGCCTGGCGTGGGGCCGACGCTGCCAAGCACCCCGTCGCTGTTGGCGCTCAGACGTGAGCGACGTGCAGTGTCGCCCCCCGCGTCGTACTGCGGCGAGCCCGTCGGTCCGGAAATCTGGCTCTTAAGGTCTGGCTGGTTCGGCGCGCCGAGGCGCTTAGGGACGAAGCGTGAGAAGGGGCGGCTACCCGCAGCAGAAGAGGAGGCACCTGCTCCGCTAGCCCCTCCTGTGTCGTGGCGACTGCGAGGACGGATGCCGAAGAAAGACGTGCGCTCGCCCGCACCGACGGAGCGTGATCCAGCCGACTCGCGCTTCCGCGGCGAGCCTAGCGGTGCACTTATCATCTGTTCCTCGCTTGACTTGACCGTGCGCCGCTTCCTGCCAAACTTGCGCAATCCGCTGGCGCTCTCGTCCTGGGTTAGCAAAAGTAAGCGTTTTTAAATCAAAAACCGAAGAGACACTCAGCGATTGGACGAAGCAGTCTTGCTGCTCGGGTCAACTCACATCGCTCATCACCTCTCTATCATTTCCAATACCGCCACCACCCATACCGCCACCGACAGCACCGCCATTGTACGCACCCATATCGGGTGAGAACCCACCAGCGACACCGAGCGGCGGGGCAGTCGCGTTGCTGAAGTTGCGGCTGTCCATCATCACGCCTGCGCGCATACCTTGTGAAGAGCCGGAGCCGGGGAAGCCTATACCAAAGTTCCCCGCAGCGGAGTTTGATGAGGCATACTGCTGTTGCAACAGCTGTGAGCCAGCGAGCGAAGCGGAGGAAAGCATTGGCTGGTCGAACTGTGCACCGCCGCTGCCGCCGTCGGCACCGCGCTCCTGTGAGAAGCTCGATCCTCGCTGCATACCGGCGCCCGTAGCAGCAGCGCCGTATGCGGGACTTGGGGCGCGTCCGATGCCAACACCAGCAGCGACGCCAGCCTTTTCGTCTTGGACGCTCTTCTTGAGCTCGCGGATGGCGACTGCGACCTTATGGCGAGTGCCGAACGCGAGAATATCAATCTCCTTGAGCATGTTGGCGTCCATCTCGAGGAGGACGTCGCCAGAGATCTCGTGCTCGGAAAACTTGCTGACGACGTTTGCCTCGTCCCAGCCTTTCATACGCGCCCACTCTACGACCTGCTCGATGTTCCACTCGAATGGGTCGCCCGAGGGCCGCACCGCCGTGCCCCCAGCCACGGATGTCGCGGGTGTGCCAGTCGTACCGGTGCCGGTGCCCGCGCCGGTGCCACCGCCGGGTGTGGCGCTGCGCGCGGAGCTGTCGAAGGTCCCGCTGCGCTGGCGCATCGAGTGGCCATCGGACGACTTGCGCGGCAGATTGGTGCTGCTGTACTTTTCGACTGATGAGACTGACGCGAGAGTGCCGACGGCCTGCTCACCCTCGTCCTTACTGGCGCCGAGCTGCGGCGAGCCGCGGCTGATGCTGCCGCCGGTAGTGCTCGCGGAGAGGTGACCCGAGGCGCTCGGGATGGGCGAGAGGCTGCGCTGCTGCTGGCCCTGCTGTGCGAGAATGACGTTGGAATTCGAAGGCGGCGGGAGCGCAGCGGCCGCTGCGGCCGCTGTGGCGGCGGCCGATGCGAGGCTCTCCTCACGATCCAGTGAAGAAAGTCCATTCTGTTGCTGCTGTTGCGATTCGATCTGCAGAGGCTTTTTCTGCGCCGCGTGCTGATTCCCAAAGAGCGGGCTATAACTCTTGGAGCCGTCGGCGCCCAAGTCGTCCGCAAAGTCGCCGAGGCTGCCCTCGCTATCGCTCTCGTCGCTCATCTCGAGCCCTGCGAACGGCACCGACGTGCTCTTCTTGGCTAGGGACGCGGCGGCGGACCCGGCTCCCCCCGAGCGCTCCTTGTCCTTCTGCAGCAGGAGCTCGCGCTGCCGCCGCTCCTCATCCTGGAAGCTCTTCAGCGCGGCGCTCTTGCGACGCTCCTCCTCGGCGCGCTCCTGCGCACCCGCGCTGGCGAGGCTCTTCTTGGCGTTCGCAGCGAGCGCCGCGCGCGCCGCCGAACGTAAGCGATACTCGTCGTCACCGTCGGCGCCTTCCTCGGTGTCAGCGCCGATGGACATGGTGTCCTCTGCGCCGCCTGCAGCTGCGTCAGGACCCTCGCCGCCGTCACCGAGCGCCTTGCTGAATCCTTCCAGCTGCGCTCCTGCAGAATCGGCGAACATGGACGCCGGCAGGCCGCCGGGGATGGTGCCGCTGATGGAGGAGCTGTTCTGTATCGACGAGGAACTGAGCCTCAGCTCATTGATGGCGCTATCGAGGTCCGCAGTGACGCCCGATGCGTTGGCCACCTCAGGCCCCCCTGTGGCTAAGCCTGCGCCGGCGGAATTGGCGTTGTTGTTGATGTTGTTGCTGCTACCACCGGCTGATGCGGCGGCGGCAGCGTTGGTAGATGCGACGGCCTCCTTGTTTCCTAATGCGAGCGCCTTGTCGTATGTTGTGTAGCTAAAGGGGAACAGGCCGCTTTCGCCTTTTTCGTTTGTGCCCTACGAGCGACGAGCGTTGTAGAGGAGCATGTGAAGGGGGGTCAGCATGTGCATGTATAATAGAGGATGCGAGTCAGCCATCATCACTCACCTGCCACCATCCGTCGCCGTATGCATCATCCTTTTCGACGACGATGATCGCATCGCCCGCCTTGAACGAAACTTCGTCTGCATTCTCGGCCTCAAATTCGTGCAGGGCATACACGATCTCCTGTGCCGATGCCATGGTCCTGGGGGAGGAGAGGGGCAGATCCAATCGATGCAGCCGAGGGGGGGGGTCGGCAAGCGCGCGTTGGCGTATGCGAGCGAAGCAATTGTTCTGTGCTGACTGTGCCACTGGGGTGCCAGCGGCTGACAATGCCCACGCGGATCCTTTTGCCTCACCCGCTACTGCTCCTTGAGAGAAGGGGAAGCAGGGGACGCTGCTGCTGATGGGATGGGGTGGGATGAGTTGGGATGGATGTGGTTGGAAGGGGAATAGAACAACACAATCTCTCTCGATTGGATCTCCCTCCGTGGTGTTGGTGGTATACATGCACACTGCTGCAGTGCCGCGCTGGCGTTGTTGACACCCAAGCGTCCTTTCTGGGAGATTTCCAGGGTTGGTTTTGATCCATTCAATTCGACGAGGATGCCTTCTCGGCGATGCGGTCGCTCTCTCAACAAAACGGCCCCACTCCGCCTCTGCTTATTGCAGCTTCCGCATGCCGCTCGCACAGTCCACCTCGCTTCGCCATCGACTCGACCGCGACCCCCGTAGTGGCAAGCGTTGGGGTCATCGCCTATGGGGAATGGGGTTTTCGCCAAGTGTGAGGTGTGACCAATTGTGCCGTTCCGCCAGTCATCCGTGTCTCTCCCTCACCGTTTCCTTTCATTAGCATTTGCTGCATTCATCCCCAGATCCACTTTAAGTATTACATTGCGTAGAGTAGGGTGACATAGCGCTTGCGTAGCTTGAGATCTTCCCCCGTGTGCTTCTTCAGCAGCAGCCCCACAAGCCCAACACACCCGTCGGCACGCACTTCTTTCATCAAGCCCGTCCTCGACTGCCCTCGGTACCCCACCCCACCTTAATCATCTGCGCTCAAATCCTCTTCTCTCGGCATGTTTAGCCTTTTTACATCGCATATCGCCAACTTTGCGCACCGCGCGACCGTCACCGCCTCCGTGGGCCTCAGTGTCTGGGGGCTCTGGCTGACCGCGGCCGTGTGGAAGAGCCGAAGGGACGAGCGTGCGGTGAGTGGCAGTCATCTTGGCAGAGCGACGCATAGTGAGCAATGAAACGCCATTTCCTGATACCCGTCTCATCTTTTCTCCTTCGCAGATCCAATCTGTCGCGATCAATGCTGCAGGCTCGCACGACGAACACCTGTCACCATCAACATCAGCCATCGCAGCAGCTGCAGCACCCACGTGGGCCCAAGAAGACAGCTCAAAGGTCAGCCCGCCGCCGCGCTATCCTTCGTGAAATGGCAGAGCAACGCTTCCTACTTGGAACCGAACCTTTGCTGTAGGTCTCCCACCGGTCCGCTCTACCCAGCCCCACCCTTCTCGCTTGCCTCGCTGATGACCCGTGCTTGTAGCACAGCATGTAACCTCATCGCTTCACACCGCACCACTCTTTTCATTCTTTTTACGAAGCAAGCCAATTTTTAATACACAGCAAGTTGTAGTGTGCGAGCCTACAAGCAGCCAAGACAACCAAGAAGACTCTGTTCCTGGCATGCGTCGCATGTAATAATGGGATGCAGCGCCGGCTTACGCGAACGCCTGCTCGCCGGTGATCGCCTTACCGAGGATGAGGCAGTGGATGTCGTGCGTCCCCTCATATGTGTTGACGACGTACAGGTTGGCCGCATGCCGCGCGACGTGATATTCGTCACTGGCAGCGTTTCCGCCAAAGATCTCGAGCAGCACGCGCGCGTGCTGCAGCGCCTTGCCGCAGTTGTTGCGCTTGACCAGCGACACCATCTCAGGGCTCCACGTTCCCGCATCCTTCATGCGCCCTAGCTGCAGCGCCGCCAGCAGGCCCAGGCTTGCCTCGGTCGCCGCGTCGACGATCTTCTTCTGCACTAGCTGAAAGCCAGCGAGCGGCTTAGAGAACTGTCGCCGCTCCAGGGCGTACGCGCGTGTCTCAGCGATGCACGCCTCCAAGGCACCGATGGCGCCCCAGCCGATGCCGAAGCGCGCAGAGTTCAGGCACTCGAATGGCGCACCCAGCCCGGGTCGTGCGCGTGCGAGGAGCGAATCTTCCTGCTTTACCTTGACGTTATCCAGGAAGATCGAGCCCGTCACTGAGGCGCGCAGCGCAGTCTTGTTCGCGATCTTTGGCGCCTCCAGCCCCTTTGTGCCCTTCTCGACCAGGAAGCCGCGCACCTTGTTATCCCACTTGCATCGTGCCCAAATGATAAAGATGTCCGCATGCGGAGAGGAGGATATCCACGTCTTGCTGCCGTTCAGCGTAAACTCGCCCTGTCCGTTGTCCTCCGCGACGGTCTCCATGTTCGCCGGGTCGGACCCGTGATTCGGTTCGGTGAGGCCAAAGCAGCCGACGAGCTCGCCTTTGGCCATGCGTGGAAGGTACTTCGCCTTTTGCGCTTCGGTACCAAACTGGTTGATTGCACCCATCGAGAGTGATGATTGCACCGACATCATTGACCGGAACGACGAGTCGACGCGCTCAATCTCGCGTGCGATCAGCCCATACGAGACGTTGTTGACGCCAGCACATCCATACCCTTGAATCGTTGGACCTAGCAAACCAAGCTCCCCCAGTGCAGGTAGAATCGTCGGGTCCCAGGCTGTTCGAACGATCGGCGAGGTGAATCATGAAATCTAGGACATAGCAAAAGGTTGCGTTGATTGCTCACATTCTTTCCGGCTCATTTCGATAATCTTGGGCTTGAGGTGCTCCTGGCAGAATGCTCTGGCCGTTTCCGAGATAGATACCTCCTCTTCTGTCAATTTTCTGTTGAATGACATCGGGTCTTCCCAGTCGAACCGAGTAAACTCTGACACAGCGGTGGCGGCAATCCATCGAAACAAAGCCAGATAGTCAGCCCGGGAGTATTCGGATCACGGCGCCTGATAGCTGCTCACTGGTCATATTGAAGGCGTTGTCGCCATTAGCAGGGTTGACATACCCGCGCGCTGATACGGCGTCGCTGCGGACAGCTGCCGTCGCAGCGGAGCTGCGGGCACCGGCGCCGCGCAGAGAGGAGGGGAGAGAGGAGCGAAATAAGTTGGCCATGGTGTGCAAAGGTCGAAGGGGGCCCCGTTGAGCTGGCGCTTGTGCTTGACCAGGGGAGGCGTATTGCACTTCGGATACAATCTTTAAACCCAGGGAGACATGTTCTTCACGCCCTTTTCCGGTCAACCTCGAGGAGGAAGTGGTGAGATGGTATGAGGGGATGTTAAACGGCAAACTGTGGAGAAGTCAGCCGTTCCCTTTGCCCCTCGCTGCTTGGAAGACACACAGGCGCCGTGCTGCTTCCCCGCGCTCCGCTCGGCCGCCATCCGCAGTTGCCGAGGGAGCGAGCAAGCTGCCGTGATCCGCTCTTTCTAGCTCCCGCCAAAAGCCGGGGCTCACTCTCATGAGCACCAGCTAACAATAGCATCAGTGCACCAGCTGGGAAGCTGAGAGGGAGCCACGTCAGATCACGACTCGAAGATGCGTTACTCAGAGGATAGCGCGGCAGTCTACGTTATGCAGGTACCCTTTTAGAAAGCCTCAGGGAGTTGCAAGACTCTAACCATCGATCACATATGGGCCCAGTAGGCCAGGCTAGTTGACGCGGAAGGAGTCCCATTCATCGCCCTGACGGACCCCCAACTCTACCTGGCACGGGTGACTTGCTGGCCTGGGGCTGTTAACAGACCTTGACCAGCGATTCAAGCCCGTCCAGGTAAGCTGGTGGTCTGGCCACAACAGCTTAGACAAGCCATTCACGCGATTGGCTGAGCGGTTCCCTCGTCCTCGAGGTCTCTCGTTCGTCACAGTACATTCCTTCTCCAGTACCCGTGAAGCCCCAAAACTTCCCTGGTTACGGGCTCTCCTATTCACTGGAAAGGCCTTCTGAGTTTGAGGAAAGAGTTGTTGGAATTGCGTGCTACCCGCTCAATGATGGAGTCCTGGCCATCATCCAGACCGACCATCCGGCGGTAAGTACGATTAAGGAAGGACGCGGAGGCAAAGAAATGCTGCATAACTGCAGGCAGCAGGCAGTCAACCGAACTCGCGACCAGAGCCGCTCGCTCGCAACTTCGGAGGTGGAATGGATAAATCATGTGTAGTGATATTATTACCGACGCGGACAGCCTCTATTGAACCGCATGAGTGCTGACTCAAGGGATAGAGAGAGTGGACGTAAAAGAGGGAAAGAGAGAAAGAACGTGTTGTATGCAAACGAGTATGCATTGAGGATCGACGTTGTATTACCTGTTCCTAATCATTCAGCGCTGCCGGGTTGAACGACGACCCGAAGAGAGGAGCGAGAGACGGAGAGGCGACGAGGAATAGATGGGGGAAGATAAAGAGCAGCTTGTGCGTGGCAGTATGTGCGCTGGACCAAATAATGACTTTATGGCCTCCGAGCCTAAAGAGATTCAGAGATGGAACGTCGATGCGCGAGAAATGGTGGGGGAGATTGATAACTGGAAGGTGACAAACTTCTGAATGCGCACATGTCGGGTGACGAGCATTGAAATAGGCCACTGAACGGAAACCCCTCGATTGCATTGGATTTGCCAATATGCCTATAACGGTCCTTGGTATTTTGTCTTTTCTCTTGTTGTGCGAGTATGAAGATAAAATGCGCTGAAGCGATGAGCCGGTCTTGTGTGCAGCGGACGGGGGTATGTCTTGTAGAGTGGGTACACACTTTGTAAAAGTAGTGTTGTTTGAAATGTGTCTTTTGAATTGGAGGAGTGTTTTTGGAAGAGAGATTGCGCGGCCTTAAATTATCCTCTGTCAGCGGCAGCGCAAGTGTAGAAGCCAGTCTGCCTCCGCCCAGCATCATGCTGGTGAGAAGTAAATGAGAGCATATTGCAAGCAGCGAGGCCGGAAGGCCGTCTTCATGCCAGGGTTGGTACGTATGCCAGCGGGTGGGACGGAGGCCCTTTTTTGTGAGTACTTGACAGTGTGAAAAGATTGCAAAATGCACAGTTGCACCAAAAGTTGAGAAGGAAGCAAGGAGTGATGTCCTTCATAGCGCTTTCCCCCCTTTATCCCTAACGATGAAAAGTTGCGTTGCGACAGCAGGGGTATGGCGAGAATGGCGGCGGCATCGTACGGCGAAGGATCGAGTCGAAAAGAGGGCTTGAAACGTGCGCGAGAGAATGATGACGGGCGGTATCGTACCTGCTGTGGCGAATAGGCAAGTGCTAAGGACGCTGCTGCTGCTGCGATGATTGTTGCTGCTGCTGAGGAGTCTAGAAACTCGAAGTAGCCAGTGGTGACTTATTGTTATTGTTGTTGTTCGCATGGTTGCTGCTGCTGCTGGTGTTGTTATTGCTGTTGTTGCTGTTGTTGTGAGCGCCTCCTGCTCCTCCATGCTCGGGCGGCAAAGGCGCCTCCCCGACAACGGGCGAATCAGCCGGGCTAAATGGGGCGAATGTGGATGCCTTGAGCATACTGTGCGGCGAAGCGCGATGCTGCACCTCGTCCGGCGCGCCACCGCGTGCGTACCACGATGCAGCATTAGGCGATGGAGAGTCGGAGTGGTGCACAGTGTTGCCCCCGCTAATACCATCGCGTACCTGCGCGTCCACGGCTGAGCCCGACTGGTAAAAAGTGCGGGGGTCCTCGCTACGTTGCCGCAGATCCATGTTCGAAAAGGAGGATGCGAGCTGCTCAGCGTTGCGATCCGCATGCTGCGCAAGGTGTTGCTGATGATGATGATGAGGAGGATGTTGCTGCTGCTGTTGGAATGGCAAAGAATGCTGTGATGCATGATGCTGTTGCGGATGCGGTTGTTGATGCTGCTGCTGCGTGTGCTGTTGGAGACGGTTTGGATGTTGCGGCTGTTGTTGCGGCTGCTGCTGCTGTGCCATTCCAGCATACATCTGGCGGAGTAGCTCTGCCTCGCGCGGGTTGTTGGACAAGGGCTGCTGCTGCTGGTGCTGCGGTTGATGCGGCTGTGGCACACCCCTGAAGCCAGCTTGGTCCAGGTCGCCATGAAGCGAAGGAGATTGCAAAGGCTGCTGCACCGCCAGGCCAGCCCTGGCAGCCGCAATCTGCTGCAGCAGCGTCGAGTTGGCGTCCAGCTCAGTCGAATGCGCGAGCAAGCCAGGCGGTAGGCCGGAGCCATTACCGCTGGCGCCGGAGTTGTTCCCACCGGCGCTGCCGTTAAGGTTGAGGTTGCTGCTGCCCTGCACGGCACTGAGAGCATTGCTGAGGCCTGCGAGTTGGGCGAGCTGCGACGCGCTTAGCCCGCCAAGGCCAGCGAGGCTGGCGAGGTGGCCGAGCTGGGCAGCCTGCGCTGCGGCCTGCACGGCTGCGGCTGCGGCCTTGTCTCCCTGGCTGCGGCCCCAGCTGAGGCGGATGCGACCGCCGCCAATGGGGAAGCCCTGCATCCTCTCGATGGCGCGCTCCGCATCGATCTTGCGCACGAACTGCACAAATCCGCAGCCCTTGCCGGGAGGGATCTTGACGTAGGAGATCTCGCCGAACGGCACAAAGAACGTACGCAGTGTGTCCTCCGAGATGAGCGACGACAGTCCCCCGACAAAGACGGTCGTATTATTCGGGTCAAGCGCGCTCGACGTCAGCGCAGCAGCCGATGCGGGCGAGACGGCGCTGAGCGGGTTGTACGGATCACCTGCGCGGGCAGTCAGGGCAATGCCCTGCGCAGAAGACTCGCGGCTGCGAGACGCATGTGCGTGGAGCAGCTGCAGAGCCTGCGGCAGGCCTCCAAGCGCTGACGCAGGGTTTGGCGCGTCGCCACTGCCAACTGCGCCCGCACTGATGTACGGATCAGGCCGAGGGTGAGCACCACCAAAACCTGCGCCTGGTTGGCCAGGGGCGAAGCCTCGTGCGCCACCTGCACCATGGTAACCACCACCAGTCCTAGCCGCGAGCTCCGCCTCGTACCCTTGTCCGCCAGCCGGAGACTTGTTCTTCGGAGTGGCCGGACACACGCGCAGCGGCCGGCCGCCCGACTGGCCGTCGAGAGGGGCGACGTACACTCCTTGCATCTCCACGAGCGCACGGAGCGAATCCGACTCGCTGGAGAAGCGGACGAAGCCGAAGCCACGACTGACACCGGTCACCGGGTCGGTCATAATCTGTGCAGCGAGACGAAGAGAAGATAAGTCAGTATATGCAAGAACAAGTGAATGAAGGGGGCATATAGCCAACTGTCTGCGAGAAATATCTCCACTCACTTTGGCGCTCTTGGTACTCGTAAAAGGAGCGGGGCCGATCTTGGCAGGTGTGAAAATGCCTCTGGCTTGCTGCGCCTGAGCGTGCGCGATGGCGAAGGGATGTGCCGGAGGCCACATGGGCGGGCGCAAAAACTGCGCAACCAGGTCTTCCTCTCGCAGGTTGGGGGCCAAGTCGCCCACAAAGATGCTGAACTCGTGGAGGCTGGCACCTCCACTCGTCGCGCTACTCGAGGTAGGTCCGGCAACCTGGGGCGGTCCGCTCGACGACGACGACAGACCCGCCGCAGCAGCAGCAGCCGCTGCGAGGGCGGCATGATGCTGCAGGTGCTGCTGGGCCATATCGGCGCTCATCTGCTGGCCACTTTGGTAGTGGTCAGCCAAGCTGGGTGGAGTCAAGTGCCTGTTGCCACCGTCCAGCGACGTGCGCCAGTGCTGTCCCTGTTCTCTGCCGTCGGAGGAGAAGAACCTTTCCCGCGCTGCGCGCTGCTGTGTGCCCCCATCCAGCACGTCATCGTGCGTAGGGGAGGATGGCGAGCCAGGTCCAACACTGTGCCCGGGCTGTGGGGGTGAGCTGCCCTTGCCGGTGTAGTAGGACGCATAGCCTGGCGGCCTTCCGAACGCTGCGGCAGCCGCGACATTGGGGTCCTTGGCGGCACCGCGTTGGTGCTGAGATGGTGGCTGCTGTTGCCAAGCATCGGCTGGGAGGCTATGCACGCTCGTGGCACTGTGTTGACTGTCGTATCCGAACGATGGCGGGGGGCTGGTGACGCTGCGGCTCGTTGCGCTCGTGCCGTCCGTGGCTGTCTGCTGTGCCGAATATGCGGGAGAGGGTGCACGGTCGGATGGGGATGAGAATGAGAACGAAAAGGGACCCGGATGCGCAGCACTAGAGGGCAAGAGCATGCTGGGGTCTCCCCCAGGATCTGGGCGAGGCGATACAGCACCACTGGCGCTGCGATGCGCCTGCATGCCACCTTGCTGCTGCGCAGCTTGCAGGAGAGCGAGCTGATACGCGCTGTGCTGGCCCTGCTGCGCCGGCATGGCCGGAAAGTAAGAGGACGGCAAAGCGGAAGTGCCTGCCGACGAGCTCTTTTGACTGTCGTCGGTAACTACGCACGGGCGCTCGCTGTTCGAGCTGGCGAACCCGAGGCCGATGGTTCCAGGGCCTAGGGAATGGGTGGAAGGAGGCTTGGTGGAACCCCAAGGCGAATGTACTTGAACTGGCGAAGTTGAATGCTGCTGCCTATTGTTACTGGTACCGCCGATTCTGTCAGAAAAGCCGCTGCCATTATGGTTTTCAGCGGTGTGTGTAGCGCCCGGCATACCGGCAGGCTCGCACTTGCTGTAAATGCTAGCAGGATCGAAGTTACCCGTGTTGCCAAAGGGAGAGCGGCTGCCGATTGCACCTGGCCCTTGCTGCTGCTGCTGTGCAGAATGCTCAATCCGTGGGCTGCCGCTTGACATGGCCGAGACGGAGTGCAGGCTGACGCTTCCGTTGCTGCCACTGTGCATGTGACCGAACAAACGCTGCTTGTCAGTGCGGGGCTGCTGCTGCTGCGACCGTGGTGCGGTGAAGACAGAAGCCGACAGATCCGAGTGGACGGAGGAGGGGCGGGAATCTATGAGGGAAGGTGTCGCGAAGAGAGGCTCTCCCATGCCATGCAAGATTTACGACGTTGACCCTGAAACGCTTGCTTGGCTCGTATCGGAAGTGTGGCAGGAGAAGCAAAAGCTGCGGTCCCTACGTGATGCATAGGATGAGACGATTTGCTGCTCAACGAAGTCTGAGGGGAGGAGTTCGTTCTTCTCGAGCTCCGGAAGGGTCCAGTCCTTCTGACGTCTCAACGGGGGTGTAAGATTTGCACCTCACCTGGGAAAGCGGAGAGAGCAGTCGAGCAAACCATGCATGTCAGCAATCAGCATATAAATGCCAGATCATCGACGAGCCACGCAGCACTCAGAAATGGCTTCTATGTGCGCCTACCCAAGCAACTCACCAGTGACGAGAAAAAGTCCCGACAGAGAGGTACAAGCTTGGCTGGCTAGATGATCTGCGTCGAACAGGAAGATTGCATTGCAGTGCACACCGTGTGCCTGCAGCTTTGCTGCGGTGTGTGCCGCCGAGGTTGAGAGAAGATGGAGATGCTTTCAATACTTCCGGGGAAGGGACTGCTGCTCCATCCTTCCTGTGGGTGGGCCAAGGTCGTGTCCCACATGAGAGCAATCGTGACAGCCGTGCGAGGGTGGAGGTGTGCCACTTCACTCAATGGGCTGGGGCTGCGCAGTGGGCCGCCAGGCTCACGCTGCTGGACCAGTCTCGCAGCCAAGGTAGGACAAGGGCTGTCGTTTGAGGCACTGTGCCAGTCTGGTACACCAATCATCACATGTCGCCAGCCACCCACCAAAAGAAAAAAAAAAGAGCGAGCGCAGAGCACGAGAGAAAAGCAAACAAACTGATCGGCCGCTCAGGCGTTCGGCGAGCCGATAAGAGCAACAGGGCAGTAAAAAAGGGACACACAGTGTGATGAACAGTCTAGCCTAGAATTGGCGCTCGTGCATTAATACCCTTAATGACCGTGTCCGATCACCCTTATGCTCTCGTTCATCGTCCCCCGTGTCTCTTTTCCCACGAGCTCAAGACGAGCAAGCAAAAGTCTACCACGCTCTTATCGAGGTCGTATAGTGTGGCATCATAATCACCATCATCATGATTGCAAAGCTGACTTGCATGAAGATTGCCTAAAGTTTTGATCGTGCCGAACGGAGTGTCGAATTGCGAATGAATTCGATGAGCGTAGCAGAGGCGGCGCCGACCGCGCGTTCATCCACGTGTCAGTCTCGCAAAGCCTCGCTCGCTCCCCCCTTTCTTCAACTTATATGTGCGGAATGCCGAAACCAGTGCTTTGGAGACGATGAGAACCAGGCTCGAGAGGGCGGATAAGAGGGACAGACGAGATTCGATACGCACCTTTAGGCCGGCTTTAACGCCGTAGCGTGTAATAGGCTGCTAGTCGAAAACAGTCAATTCACGAGGTTGTGAACTCGCTTCTGCGGCCCTCCAGCCCTCAGCCAGTCTTGTTCAGGAATGATCCTCTGTGACTCTTCGCGCGCAAAAATCTGATTGCGACGAGGAGAGTTCTTTCCCTATCCTGTGACAAGTAGCAGCGCCGCGACTCCCCCCACAATGTGACAGAAGTGACTGCATGAACACAAATTTGACAGCCGCTTGACACACTTTTTGTGGCTTCAGAGTCTTTGATGTTTGGTGTCTTCAAGGTTCAAGCTCCACTAGTCCTCGGAGTACATTTGGCAGCCACCTGCCGCACAATAATGGAAGACACAGCACTATAAGGAACCAGTCGTACCAGGTCGCACCCAAAGTTCAGCACATAGCACGGTCTAACAGTGGACACCCTAACGGCATTGTCGGCATCTTGGCGACGATCCCACGCTTCATTCGCAAAAGTACGTGGGAACTGCGAGGGTTTCCCGAGTTCGTTGGCGCAGGCGCAGTGCTGCCCAGAGATGTCCCTAGAGACCGAGTTATATGAGTCACGTGACAACGAACACGCGTCGCGTCCGCCCGACAAAGGTACGTACGTATCAATTCCATGTGCTTCCCGTCTCTGGTACGAAGCTCCTTCAATCCCAATTTCCACCTTGCCCGTCGTGTACTTATTCGGTTCTTGTCAAATCTGTCTAAAAGTGCTCCGTGAAGTGGTCCCTGGATCGCAGCCTCGGATGGACGCGGGCGGATTCACTTGCTGCTCTTGCGTAAACCTCACTCCAGCTGGGAACTTCACGCTACGCACACCAGATGCAAGGCATAGGCGCCGGCTCCCGCGCCGATCGAGCGTTGGTATTCTATGAACGCTTCAACGAGAGCATCTCTGGTATGTACGACTCTGCCTGTCGGCACTGTATAACCCGGGGTTATTTGCAGCCCTGCATCAACTTGGAGTCATGCAGGATCACATCTTCCCTTGACTCATCACTCACCTCCTTCGCGCCTCGCGGTCGCTATCCTTCTCTTCCTCATGCGCACGCACGGTGGAAACAGCCGCTCAAAAACTCGTCCAGAATGCAAGCTCCAGCTCAGAGCTCACGAAGCCTCTGCAGGTCGTCTCTCAGCTCAGAGCAGACGTGACAGAGTACCACGACTTGATACCATCATACGATAGGAACACGTACGAAAACGTAAGTGCTCTCAGCTTTCCAGCGGCAAGACATTTCAGTTGGCTTGCTGTATACAGCGCTGCTTACACTCTCGGCCAATTTATTCCTTTTATAGAAGCTGCGCCAGCTAGCTGCTGAGATAACAGCCAAGCGAGCTGAGTTAGGCAAGTCAAGTGGGCGTTTCTCTCTCCGACGGGCGCCGAAGCCACAGCCTGCATCGAATGCTCCTTCACATTCACCTTCCACAAAACCAGACGAAGGGACATCGACCCCTCGTCTATCAGCCTCGATGCATGCGGCAGCAGCGGAAGAATTACACTCAAAGCCAAAGCGGGTTTTCACGGGAAAGAAGAGAGCGCGCTTGACGCGCAACGATGCGATCTTCCAAGACGGCACCTCCTCCGGTGATCTGCATATCTCAGACTGCATCGATTGCTTGATCGACCTTCGGCCGCCTCCGCCTCCGGAGGACGCAGGTGCGAGCGATGCGGCTGCCCGAACAAGACCCAAGCTGACTTCACTGCAAGCTGTGCAACTACGCGCGATCAAGAACTCTGTGCTGCTGCTCGGTGAGATCGACGGCAGCGTCATGGTGCACGGTTGCGAGAACTGCATCATCGCGGTGAAGAGCCGTCAGGTGAGCATGGGGGCTACCTCGATAGCTCCATCGGCCCGATAGCTGACGCTGATCATGCGTTGCGCATATGCCACGAATCCATGTGCTCAAGTATCGCATGCACACTTCAGAAAGCATCATCGGCCTCATCGACAGCGCGTCTGTCATTACAATTGAACACTGCAGCAACCTTGCGCTCGCGCCTTGTCCGTCACCTTTACGGAAACAACGCGATGCGTCTTCGCCCCATTCAGTTGCAGATCCAGACTCGCATCTGAATCCGACCGCTGTCACGAATGCGCCATCGAAAGGAAAGTTTGAAGTGCAAGACTTTGACCACATCTCTCGTGCGACCGCGTCACCTAGTTGGATTCTCGCAAAGCCTGATGTGGTGGCCAAGGTCGTCGCGTGGACCGCAGAGCAACAGAATCCTGACCAAATGCAATTGCAGGTCGGCGTACTTCTGGCACCCTAGACGCCCTGCTGCAACGCGCAGCGGCCCGCGGATGTGGTGCCGAGAGAAGGGATGCTATACAAGTGGAGATGTAATCCTGTTCTCCCCATGATGCATTTGTTGCATTGCAGTGCGCAAGAATCGCATTTAAAGACTACATGTCAAGAGCAGTGGTTCTATAGAATTTTGGTGTCTTGGCTCACAGCTGGGCCTCGACGAGCTCGAGGTAGCGTCCACGGCGCTGCAAGAGCTCGTCATGGGTGCCACTTTCGACGCAGATGCCGTCTTCGATTACACAGATTTTGTGCGAGTTGCGGATTGTGGTCAATCGGTGTGCCTGCGGTGGGACGTGAAGAGGCGGCGTTCAGCACATAGATGCCACTGTCAATATGCGCGCAGCACTGCAGAGCACTCACCACCACCACCGTCGTGCGGCCCTCGGATGCGCGATCGAGAGCCTGTTGCACAACATACTCCGATTGCGTGTCAAGAGCAGATGATGCTTCGTCCAGAATGAGAATCTCGGGCTTGCGCATAAGCGCACGGGCAATGCACAGGCGCTGCTTCTGTCCGCCGCTAAGCTGCGCGCCTTTGAAGCCAATGTCTGTCTCAAAGCCATGCGGCAGGCCACGGACAAAGTCGAGGATGCATGCCGCTTCGCATGCTTGCTCCACATCTTGCAATATCACCTTGGACGGGTCGACGGCTCCCATAGCCAAGTTCCAGAAGATGGTTCCGGAGAAGAGGACCGGGTCCTGCGACACGTAGGCCATCTTCGCGCGCAGCTGATCCAATGGTATCTGGCGCGAATCGACGCCACCGAAGCTGATGGTGCCGCGGGACGGGTCGTAAAAGCGCTGCAGAAGCGACAGGATGGACGACTTGCCGCTGCCGGATGTGCCGCAGAAGGCAGTGCGCTCGCCCGCCTTGAGCGTGAGGGTGAGCGACTTGAGGGCAGGGTGTTTGGGGCGCGTCGGGTAGCGCAGCTCGACATCGTTAAGAACAATGTCACCCGTCATCGGACTGGTGTCCTTTCCTTCCTGTTGCTGTTGCAGCGGCGGCGGAGCATTGGTCAGCGTTGCAACATGAGGTTTGCGAGTCATCCAGCTGGTTATGACGCTGAGTGAAGCCCTGGCGCGCGCAATGTCGGGCGTGAACGTGAACATCCTGCCGGCGGAGAAGCTGCCGATGACGACGGCCTCGAACGCGGCGTAGAGGTTCGAGAGAGCAATCTCCTTGCGCGCATAGAGCGTGCCACCCCAGAAGAACAGCAGCGCGGAGACCCACAAGACCATGGCCTGGCTGAAGGCGAAGCCAAAGGAGCCGACGAGCAGGTAGCGGATGCGGCTCTTGTCGGCCTTGGCGCGCAGGTCGAAGATTCGCATCGTCTCAGCCTCGCGGCCGAGAGCGGCAACGGTCTTGATCGAGTCTATGTTTTCGCTGACATAGCTGGCTGCGCGGTCCATGGGCTTCTGCGCGCGCTGCTCGAACTTTTCGAGCATGGCAACGTTGACGTAGCCGCTGAGGAAAAGGAGCAGGATCGGCGGGAGACAGACGACGGCGACCTTCCAGCTGACGGCAAACGCGAGGACGATGGAGCCGATCAGGTTGATGACGGAGATGATGACCTGCGACAGGATTGCGCCGGTGGCTGCACCGACAGCGGCGGGATGGCTGGAGACGGCCGCAGTGAGGCTGCCGGACGCCTGGTCTTCCGCATCGAAGAAGCCGATCTCCTGCTTAAGCAGAGCGGCGAGGCCGCCTGTCTTGAGCGCCCGGATGATGCGCTCCGAGGCGACCTCAAGGAAGACCGTGTTCATGAAGCTGAGCGCGATGTTACACAGCGCAAGGACGAAGAAGAAGAGTGCCCACTTGTCGGTCTGTGAGCGTAGCAGAGCGTTATTTCCCTCGATGGACATGGCGCCAACGGTCTCGCCGGTCATCCAGCCGGCGAACGGGAAGGACGCGCCGACGGCGATGGCGGCGGCGACGCCGATGAGGAAATGCCAGCGGTACATGCCGATGTAGAGGCCGTACAGGCTGGAAAGCTTACACCACGAGAGGTTGGGGAGGAGGGCGTGGACGTGCTGTGACGTGTGGGGCAACGACGATAACGAAGTCGACGGCGCGAAGCCGCTGTCCGTTGCGTCGCCAGGGCTGATGGCGTCCTGCGCCCGGGCCGCGGTGGCGGCGGCTGCGTCGGCTTGGGCGGCGGGCGACTCAGCGGTGTGCTCGAACTGCGAGACGGTCATGGTGCGGCCAGAGGCGGGCCAGTTGTGCTCGGGTGCACGACTGGTGCGGTGTATCAGCACAGCGGGACGGTCGAGCTGCTGCGGTTGGCGCTGGAATTCGTCCCAAGGCGTCGCGACAGTGGTGCTCGCGGGGCAGACGGTGTGTCCGCCGACCTTGGTTGTGGCGCCATCGCTGATGATGAATTCTTCGCCTTCAAAGCCGTCGTTATCGTCGATGGCCGTATCCGCAGCGCGCTTATCATCGTCGGCGCTGGCGCCGGCGAGGGCGACCATGGCGCGCTGCTGCAGGACCATGTCCCGGTAAGTGTGGTCGCGGCGGTCCTGTTCCATGAGCTGGTCGTGTGTGCCGTGGTCGACGAGCCTGCCGCTGCGCATGACGAGGATGTCGTCGGCGTTACGTACAGTGGAGAGGCGGTGGGCGATGATGATGGTGGTCATTCCGCGGCTGTGCTGCTCGCGCTGGAGCATGGCGCGAATGCGCTCCTCGGTCGCGGAGT